TGTTAATCCCTTCATCCACCAGTGGACATTTAGGTTGTTTCCATATTTTGGCTATTGTTAATAATATCTCAATGAACATTGGAGTTCAGATATATCTTGAAGAGCCTTTTGGAAATTCTTTTGGATATATGCCCAGAATTGGGATGGCTAGATCATATGCTAGTTCTATTTTTAATTATTTGAGGAACCCCCACACTATTTTCCACAGTGGCTGCACTAATTTGCATTCCCACTAACCCATGTTCAAGGGTTCCCTTTTGTCCACATTCTTGCCAACACTTATGTTTTTTTTTTTTTTTTTAAAGGCCATCCAAACAGATATGTGGTGATACCACTGCTTTGATTTGTATTCCCTGAAGTTGAACATCTTTTCCTATACTTGTTGGTTATACTTATTTGGAGCAATGTCTATTCATGTTCTCTCAATGTCTATTTTAAAATCAGATCATTTATTCTTTTTCTTTTTTTTTTTTTCTGGCCCTCGATATAGTAATTCATATCCCTCAGTTCTGGAAAACCTGTTCTGAACAATTCCTTTGATAGTTTCTTCCCTTTTATTTCCTCTGTTCTCTTTCAGGAACTCTTATTATTCAGTTTTAAGACACCTGAAATAGTCCCCCATTTATCTTTTCTTTGTCAATGGAATGTTCATTTTTTTAAAATGTAACATTGTTTTATTTCAATGATGCAACATCTTTTCTTGTTTTTTAGAGGTTATTATAATATATCAATTTTTAAAATGCATCCTTTCTACATGTAAAACATTTCTGAAGTTGGGAGTTTGTTTTGTATATGTTAACTTTGAGAGATCTGTTAGAAATCTGTATTAGTGGTCCAGGCAGGGTGTACCATGCCTGTAATCCCAGTGGCTTGGGAGACTGAGACAAGAGAATCACAAGTTCAAAGCCAGCCTCAGCAAAGGTAAGACACTAAGCAACTCCGTGAGACCCTGTCTCTAAATAAAATCCCAAATGGGCTGGGGATGTGGCTCAGTAATCAAGTGCCTCTTAGTTCAATCCCTGGTAAAATAAATAAATAAATAAAAAGAAATCTGTATTAGTTTCCTGGGCTGCTGCAACAAATTACTATAAACATAGTGGCTTAAAACAATGGATGGGTATTCTCACACAGTCCTGGAGGTGGGAAGTGCAGAAGCAAAGTATTGGCAGGACCAGGCTCCCTCCAAAGCCTCTAGGGAAGAATTCTTCATTTTTTATTTTTATTTTGCCATGCTGGGGATTAATCCCAGAGCCATACTAATGCTAGTTAAGTGCTTTACACCAAGTTACATCCCCAGCCCCAGGGAAGAATTCTTTGTTTCTTTCAGCATTCCTTGGCTTTAGCCTCTGTCTTTTTTTTTTTTTTAATATTTATTTTTTAATTTTCGGCGGACACAACATCTTTGTTTGTATGTGGTGCTGAGGATCGAACCAGGGCCGCACACTTGTCAGGCGAGCGCGCTGCCGCTTGAGCCACATCCCCAGCCCTAGCCTCTGTCTTCTGTAACTTTCTTTCTTTCTTTTTTCCCTCTGTGTTCTATCTCCTCTGTGTGTGTCTCTGTGTCTTTTTCTTAGAAGGATACCAGTCATTGGATTTAGGGCTCACCCTAAATCTAGAATAATCATTTTGAGATTCTTAACCAAATTATATTTGCAAAGACCTATTTCCAAACATTTACTTGGATATATCTTTTTCTGGGCGGAACACAATTCAACCTACCACAACATCCATGCACCAATGTTGAATAGGGAATTCAATATGCAAGTTGTGCACATTTGGAATTCAGAGAAAAGACCCAGGCTAGAGTTATACATTTGGGATCATCAGCATATGGATGGTATTTAAAGCCAGATGTCTAAGTATTATTAAGGAAGGAGTGGACTGAGGATGTAGCTTAGTGGTTGAATACTTGCCTAGTGTACTAGAAGCACTGGGTTTGATTCCCTGAACCTGTTGTGGGGAACAGAAAATTCAAGGCCAGCCTAGGTAACTTAGTGAGACCTTGTCTCAAAATAAAAAAGGGGAAGGAATGTAGCTCAATGTTAAAATACTGATGGACTCAATCCCCAGTATCTGGGGGAGAGGGGGAATAATAGCATGTATATATGTTTATGAGGAGGAAGTTGAGAGGTAAAAGTTGATGCCAGCAGAGAGAGAAAAGACTTTTTTTGTAGTAACATATTTGAATAGGAAAGAGGAGATAGAATTTAGAACTTAAGTGGAGGGGTGGTCTTTGGCAGGAACATGGATAGTTTATCCATAGTACCAGAAGAGATGGAATGTAGGTGGGTAGGGATGCAGGTACTGGTAGCTTGTGGAAATTATTTTGTGATTGCTTCTATTTTCCCAAGAAATAGGAAGCAAAGTCATCTACCCAGAGCAAAGATGGATTAGGAGGTTTGAGGTGTTAGAAGATAAGACTTAAGTGTCTTGGAATGTTGAAGGGACTGGACTGGGGCCCAATATTTTGGATCATGAATTTAAAGTGGCTAAGTATCACATTAGAGTGGCTGTGGCTTGTCTCTAGTCATTTTCAGGTGTTTGTGGGTGGAGAGTAAGATTTTGTTAGGCTTGCAGTTTTACCAAGGAAGGACTGTAATATAAGAAAGAGGCAAGGGGTTTGAAGGTTACAATGATACAACTTAAAAATGAAGGGAGAAGGTATGAGGGTTGATGAGAAAATTGTGGGTTGGTGATATAAATATTGGCTGTAATATGTAAACCAAAATGAGTGAGCTGGAAATAGGAGGGATGGCAGTAAGAGAGCAGGGTGTGGAAATTGAGATTATGAAGGTGGTTCAGTTATAATGACAAGGTTAGAGATATGACCATTAGAGTGAGTAGCTCATGCAGAGTAGAAATCAAGATCACTGAAGGGGAGCAGTCTAGGAATTGATTTGCTTGGGTGTGGAAGGGTCATTTATGTGAACCCTACGTGCACTCATCAGGTAAGGTAGTCAGTGCCCAAAGATAACTTGGTTAGAAATCCAGCTCATCCTTTCCCAGTTTCTTTACTTTTCTTATCTAATGGAGGGAGATATTGATAGTTTCTACATTGTGGGGCTATTGTGAGGACCAAGTGAATCAATACACATAAATTACTTAGAACATTGCCTAACATATAGCAAATGTAAAATAAGCTCTTATTTTTATTTTCTGGTTCTGGGCATCAAACCCAGGGTCTTGTGCATACTAGGCAAGTGCTCTACCACTGAGCTACAGCCCCAGTCCTTTCTATTTTATTTTGGGACAGGGTCTCACTAAGTTGCTCAGGCTGGCCTTGAACTTGCAATTCTCCTGCTTCAACCTTAACAGTGGCTGGATTCATAGGTACATGCCATGTACCCAGCCAGACTTTTTTTTTTTTTTTTGGTGCTGGGGATTGAATGCAGCACTTTGTGCATGCAAGGCAAGCACCCTACCAACTGAGCTATATCCCTAGCACCCCCAGCCAGACCTTTTTTATGTAGACTCACATCTGCTCTCGCTTTCACTCTCTCTCTCTCTCTTTAAACAAAAATTCTTTAAAAATTACCAATGATCTTGATCTTGCCAAGATCACTGGTTAATTTAATGTTTATATTACAGTACCTGACATGGCTTTATCATGTTTTGCTTCTGAAATTATCATAAAAATTTGTTTTTCAGGGAAAAATAATTTTTTTTTCCTAAGAGATTCTTATTCTCTTAGGCTTTTCATCTCTCTTTATTGTCATCCTTTCTCAATCTACTTTTCTGGATGTTCTTCCTCTTCCTGACTTCTTAGCTTGGGACTAAGTTCACTTTTTTATTCACATTGAACATGACCTTTCCAGTCCCATGGTTTTGAATGGTATCAATATTCTAATGCAGCCAAAATTTATATCTCTCTGATCTTTTCTATTATTCGCAAAATAGTATTACCTTTCACTTATTTGTCCAGTTTTTTTTTTTTTTTCTTTTTGTGGTGCTGGAGATTAACCAAGGCTTCATCTAAGGTAGGCAAGTAAATGCTCTACCAGTGGGCTACATCCCAAGCCCTTGCTCCGATTATAAAACCATTCTTTACCCATTTCTTTCCCTCACCCGACACACCAATCCATTCAGCAAGTCCTCTTGACTCTAACTTCAGATTACATCTGGAATCTGACCACTTTTCATCAGCTTCATTGCTTTTATCAGAGTCCTACCTACCACTGTCCTTTGCCGTGACTGCAAGTCAATAAGCTCTGAGTGGGCCAAACATTACCTGACTCGCCGCCCCCCCCCCCCCCCCCCCCCGCAGTGCTGGGGATTAAATTCAGGCCCTCCCTCAAGTTAGGCAAGTCCTGTACCACTATACTCTACTCCTGTACCTGGCATTTCTCGAATTGGATGCATTGATTTGGTGAAACAGTAAAGAAACATTAAAAAAGAAATTTTTTTAAATTTTGGGCTGGGGATGTGGCTCAAGCGGTAGCGCGCTTGCCTGGCATGCGTGTGGCCTCGGTTCCATCCTCGGCACCACATACAAAGATGTTGTGTCCGCCGAAAACTGAAAAAAAAATTAAAAAAAAAAAAGAAATTTTGACTATTTACTGTAGCAACACGGGTTGACTCTCAACGAAATATGAGGAAGTAGCTGCTCATGCCATGACTTTTACATTACTATGACAGAATAAATTATTACTGTGTACTTAACTATAGCCTGGAAATGAATAGGGGAAAATGAAAACAGTTGTCACAATCACGGAGTTATAGATAAATGTTTCTTTTGAACATTTCGTTCGACCATTTTATAAAAGTTTTTTAAAGTAATGGGTCTTGCTCTGCATGCTATAGCCACTTCCTTCCACACACTCTCGACCCTACGCTCCCGAACGTTAGCCCTAGGCCCTACCGGCCACCGTCCACAGGGTAGACCCGCCCAACGCTCGCCTGCGTCGTGACGAGCCACGCCCACAGATCCCGGCACTCCCTCCGCCCCACTTCCTCTCTTTAGGATCCGCCCCGCGTCGGTGCGCCTGCGCACGGACGAACACGTGGCTGCCGCGGAGCCAGAACAGCAATGGCGGCGGGTGGTGGCGGTAGCTGCGACCCTCTGGCCCCTGCGGGGGTCCCCTGCGCCTTCTCCCCTGACAGACAGGCCTACTTCGCTTTGGCCTCTACCGACGGTCACCTGAGAGTGTGGGAGACAGCCAACAACCGACTGCATCAGGAGTACGTGCCTTCCGCGCACCTCAGCGGTACCTGCACCTGCCTGGCCTGGGCGCCAGCGCGGCTGCAGGCCAAGGTAGTGCGAGCGGGACCGTGGTGGGGGAGGGCGCTCGTTCCGATCAGGGTTTGGCGCCCCCGGGCAGGGCGACCCGCGGTCCCGCACCATTCTGGGCCCTCGCTGCCTCAGGGCAGGGAGGCAGTGAGCGCTGTGGCGGCGGGCACTGGGCTACCTCGCCGCCTGTGTACGGCCTGTCGGGAGGGCAGTAAGAGGGCGCGGTTCGATCCGGCGGTCTCCATGCGGTCTGCGTCCCACTGTCGCTGGGCCGCCATGTTCGCCAAGGCCCCTGACCCCCCAGGGGTGGCTTCCTTCAGCCAGGCCCCACTCATCCGCATGCGCTCATCAGAGCCCTGGCTTTTGACAGAGCCCCATCTTGGAACTATACTGCTCATTCCTATCGCAGACTCAAGGGTATTGGTTTTTCTTGGACAGTTGTAATGAACAAGTCTGTTTTCTTGTTTCCGGGACCCCATCCTGGGGTGCCGGCTCAACACGTGTTCTCTCACGCGTTTGGCTAACAGGGCTCTTACGCTCTAAACTCTGGACTTTCCCAATCTCCTTTTCATTCTCAGCCTTTCAGAGTTTCTTATGTTTAACTTCTGCTCGGCTCCCTCTTTTTAGTCCTTGCCTCATCTTGAATTCTTCATTAGCATTTGGAGTTAAAATGTAGTAGCTTGACTTGGCGAATATGATGTAAATCCAGGTGAAGTTTCCTGTAGATTGGAATTTGCCGAGTTAGGGAAATCTTTTCATTGTCAGGTAAATTCTCTGTTGAATCACCGGATTACATCCACTCAAACTCACTCGCACGTGCTTACTGCCCTTAATAGAGTAGCCAAACCGATTCACTTCAACATGGATTAGAAGCATTAAGTATCCTAAAGTGTGACATTTTGTCATAACTATGTTGTCAAATTTCAACACTTATGTTTAGGATAGATCTTACTCTGACCACCAGAAGAGCCCATGCTAAATTTTTGGGTGAAAGTGGGGATACATCTTTACTTGCTATACTTGGGTGAATTCTTTCAGATATTTTTTTGACTTTAAGTTATGTTTGCATGGTATCTCCTGTTGATTGATAAAGGACATTTATCAAGGGTCATAAATTAGGCACAAAACTCAGACTTGTAAAGTTTTAGTTGTCATTATTAGAATTTCAGCATTCTGCATATTTTTTTTCTTTTTAAAATTGTTTTCAAATGTAATTTAACAGTTCTGTTAAATCCAGGCTCTCCTTCATCATAATAATTCTGCTTCTAGTTCTCCCTTTATTAAATGAGGATTATATACATTGAGAAGTTATGTAAGGTAATATATTTAATAATGCAGAAAGCACTGAGAATAATTCTTGACATGTAAGTGCTGTAAGTATTAAATATTATTAGTATATTTGTATAGTTAATTTTGCAAGGTAGTTAACAGAGCAACTTGCATAAAACCAAAAAATGGAACCAGGGCTAGAATTTAGATCTTTAAAGCTCAGTTTTTAGTTAAGTGCAACATATATTTAATATTATTAGGTTGTCCAAAACTTGTCCTCCACTTTTCTATTGACTTTCAAATCACAGTGTATGTCAGGAATGAAACTTTTTCCTAGTCTCAAATTATGAATGATAGTTGGGAATTATATGGATTTGTTCTTATAACCAGGACTGATTTCCGATTACCTTTTGTCATATTAAGTTGGTTTAATTTGGAAGGTCTTATGAAAATGAAAGTTACACTGGGGATGCAATTCAATGGTATAGCAGGTGTTCAGCTCCCATGATCTCTCTCTTACACACACACACAAACACACACACACACAATGTTTCTAGGTTTCAGACTCCTTTTACTAGTATGCTCTTATTTTAGCAATATAAATATGAAATTCCCTAAAATTACTAAACTTTAAAAAACAGATTGGTGGGTCAGAATTATGAAAGTTAAATGACTTAACCAAAACCTTAGTCACTAATGAAGTAGTTGTGGCCACTAGAGTCATCGTACTCTGATTTCTAGTTCAGTGCCCGTATACTCCTCTTCTTGTTCTGGAGTAACAGCTGAGAGGATTATAGAGAGCCTAATTCCTATCATATTGGGGATATGACATCCTGGATCATCAGTTTTACTTGAAGAATGAGAGTTAGTTTTTCTGTATTAAAACAGGCTTACACATATATTATGGTGTAGAATTAAAGGCCATACAATTTGAGGAAGGGGACAAAGGGAATTGAACCCAGAGGCAGTGCTACCATTGAGGTACATCCCAGCCCTTCTTTATTTTTTGAGACAAGGTTGTGCCAAGCTGCCCAAACTAACCTCAAACTTGTAATCTTCTTGCCACTTGAGTAGCTGGGATTTTAGGTAGTTGCCACCATACCTGGCTGTTAAGCGATTTTTTTTAATGTTTATTTTTTAGTTGTAGATGGACACAATAACTTTATTTTTATGTGGCACTGAGGATCGAACTCAGGGCCTCGCACGTGCTACGTGAACACTCTACTGCAGAGCCACAACCCTAGCCCTGTCAAGTGATTTTTTTTTTTTTTTAAAACATTTATTTTTTAGGTGTAGATGGACACAACACAATGCCTTTATTTTTATGTGGGGCTGAGGATCGAACCCATGTCCCGCCTGTGCTAGGCTACAATCCCAGCCCCCTGTCAAATGATTTTTAATGGTACAAAATGAGTAATTGTTCAGCAGCTGCTCAATCTCTACTCCCAGTTTCCTGGGTTATGTTCCTTGCCACGTAAGTGTCAAGATGCTTTTTTTTTTTTTTTTTTTTTTTGGGGGGGGGGGGGGGGGGTGGGGATTGAATCCTGGGCCTTGTGTATATGCAAGGAAAGCATTCTACCAACAGAGCTATATCCCCAGCCCAAGATGCTTTTTTCTCATTAAACCTTCTTATTTTTATATCCTTGAGGTTTAAAGCGTGAGACATGAAAAAAAAATATTGTTACAAAGTCCACATTTCCAGCGTTTTGTTAAGATCCTGGCATGTTGTCCACTTTCAAACCAAAAGTAGAGATAATTCCACCCTGCTTTCAGGGTTCTCTGCATGAAGTGAGGCAGTGTACATGGCCTGTGTAGTAAAGTATGGCACATAATAAGTACTCAGTAAATGTTATTATTGAATGAATCTGTGTGGACTCATTTAATGTTGTATTCACACTGTAAATTTTATAGGAATATCCTGCATTTGGTTTATTAATTGGCCGTTTGCTACCCAAGGAGAGACAAAACATATGATATTCTTATCTAAGTGAAAAGAAATATGAGCTGGGTTTTTTAAGTAGTGGGTTAATATAATGGTTGGTTTATAAATATTTAGAAAAGTTAGATTGCCATTTTTTGTTCTTGGTTACAGAATGAAATACTTTTTTTGTTGTTGTGATGGGGATTGAACCCAGGGCCTGTGCATGTGAAGTAAGCACTCTAGCAACTGAGCTATATCCCAAGTACTGATTATAATACTTTGTATTTATGCCTCAGTAGTTTTAGTTTCCCAAGTTTATATGTATAAACTGAGGCTGAGGTGTTAGTGTCAGGGCAGAGTTATACAGTAGATGGCTGAGCCACCTAGGAAAGGATCCTTTTTCATTGCTCCCTTAAGTCACACACTTTTCTACTTTCCTTCCCTACTGACTGTAGAACCCTAGAGGAATAGACTTTGCCTATTGTTGGCTACCACAGTACACATTTTTATACTGCTTTAATCTCAGTGCAGTTATATGACCCTACACAGCTTAGTACTTACTGGAGGAAGCCCATGGCGCGTATCAGACATTGGACAGAGCCCATGTGGTAGCATTAAGTATATTTCTAGGAAAAAATCTGAGCTGGGTATCACCATTGCTATCTCTTAGAGATGTAGCACAATTCAAATGTGTTGCTGTGCTCTCTTGAGGTCTCCAGTATTTAAACTTCAAAAGAAGATAAAGATCACAGTTTAGATTTAATTGGCAGAAATAGATGTTTCTCTGTATTCGAATTTAATTATTTTGTTATAAATACTATTTGTAATTTTATGTAAAATGTAAAGTTTTTAACCCGCTATTTCACATTATACTTCTACATATGCCAGAATAAGTATCAGTAAGATAAGCCAAGAAGTGGAATAGGAAGCTATTTGCCAAGTACAAATGTAAACTTGGTCGTAATTTTTGGTATCTAGGAGTCAGTATTTTTCAAAGTAAGTTTTGATCCATTAGTGAATTCTGAGATAGATAATAGTGGGTTGTGACCACATTAAAAAAATGAGATGGAAAACATCAGAGAATTGCTACTCATGATAAGTTTTTCTATGAAGCTTGTTTCATTTATATATATCATGTTTTCATGAGTGCATACTGGTTTCTTCATGTGTATGTAAACTCTACTTTGAGATTTTAGTGTAAGCCATTGCTTAAATCTGGATCAAATTCAAACTTCTTATCACCTGGATGTTTCATGGTCTCTTCATGTCATTTTTACTACTACTTGCATTAAAAATCAAGCATGTGTTCCATTCATATTCTTTCTCATTGTTTGTGTGTTGTTGTTGTTGTTCTTTTTATTTTATGTATGTAGGGTACTAGGCAAGCACTCTACCAGTGAGCTACCTCCTCAACTCCTCAGTGTTCTTATTGTCTTCTGGGTCTAATGTTCAGAAGCTTTCATCAGACAGGTTTGTGCTATTTGTGCTTAGCTCAGTCTGCCCTTAGGTTGGACAAGGTGTTAATTTAAGAAATCACATTCTTTTAGTCTTCATTCCTGATACCTTCACTTAGAGTTTATAGTTAAAAATATATGAACTAAATTCTCAGCCAGCATTTCTCATTACTTTATATTTTTACACATCTGGTCAGTTGGGACCTGACATTTCTAGGTACTCTAAGAAAGGAAACAACTGTGTGTGACTTAAGATGAAAGAAGAAAAAAGATAACTCAGTTTTACTGTGTCTGTGATGCAGAGCATGATTTATTTCTTAAGGAAAAGAAGGTTTCTGTAGGAGATGGTATTTAAGGTAGACTTTGAAGCATAGATAGAATTCTTAACCAATGAAAATTAAGGCGAGTAGGAGAAGGCCCCTTCAAGTAAAGGGAAAAGCAGAATGAGGAAGTTTAAACACATGTATGGAGTGTGATGTATGGATAGAATTGGAATCAGTAGTACTGACCTTGGTATCAGAAATATTTAATGTGGGGTTGTACCTAAAATATTAGATTTCACTAAAATGCACATTGGTTATATAAACTTCTGATTTGGTTCATGTGTTACATGTTAGGACATGCCTATCCTGCTGAGTGGGAAGTTATTTTTAAAAAGATCATCTAACTGAAAAAAAAACATGCAAGTTAATAGCTATATGAAATTAATTGAATTATTATTTAGCTTTAGACGGTTTTCCTCAAAGTTGCATATAGATCTTGTGGGCTTGGGGCTGGGGTTGTAGCTCAGTGATAGAGTGCTTGCCTGGCATGTGTGAGGCGCTGGGTTTGATCCTCAGCACCACATAAAAATAAATAAATAAAGATATATACATATATACATACATATATATATTCATATATAGAATACTCCTGCCTGCCTTTTCTTGTTTCTGCCAAAAGTAGATTCCGCACATAGGAAAATCAGGGTTTTGGTTATGTTAATGTTTAATTTCTTTTTCTTCCTTCCTTCCTTTCTTTCTCAGTGCTTTTAATGTAAATTCAAATCTGTGGTAAAGCATATACACATTTGGACAAACCTTTACACAGTAAAAAAAAAGGTCAGTATAGATAATTTGGTTTTTCTAGACTCTTCTCTAAAGAAAATTCTTTTAGAGTTTTTTGATAAGGTAGCACATATTGAGTATCTCATCTGAGATGCTTGGGCCTAGAAGTGTTTCAGAATTCAGAACGTTTTGGATTTTAGAATATTTGCATAGACATTACCATTTGAGCATCCCTGATCTGAAAATCTGAAATCTTTAAAGTGCTCCAAAATTTCAGATTAAGGATGCTCAACTTACAGTTGCTTAATATACTTCTCCCTACTGCCCTTTTATGAAATAGCTGTTTGTGTTTATAACCTTAATGCAGAAACCACATTTTTCTCTGGGATTATTCACAGGTAGCTTTAGAAATTCATGTAAGTGAAGTTGGGATTGTGGGACACTTCTAATACAAAAGTTTCATTATTCAAGCAGATTAAATGTTACTGATGGGACATTAGATTATACTGTTTACACTCAGTCTTTTAATTGTAACATCCCTTTTGGGTTTGTTAATGTAGATACATTGCTAAAGAACAGCTAAATGTTATTTTTATTCTGTAATAAAAAGTTACTTCTTTTTGTTCATCTGAGTGTCTGATAAATCAAAATTTTCAAATGTAGCATCCCCATAGGATAACTAAAAGGAAAAAATTTGAAAATTCTCTAGAAATTTACTCTGATAGTCTTTATATACTGATAACATTGTAGTTTTCATTTTGTTTCTTGGATGGGGTAAATTTTTATGTTTCCTAGATTTTTATGCTATAGAGAAGAGAGATCCTATACTATTAAGAAAGTGTTCCCTTTTCTACTGGACAGTTTTATGCTAAAAGAATGGATTTGTCAGCCCGGCACTGTGGTGCATGCCTGTAATCCTAGCAGCTTGAGAGGCCGAGACAGGAGGATCTGAGAATGGATTTCTCAGAGCTTCTTTTATACCAAAACATACAGACTGGTGAGCTTTAATTAAAAAAAAAAAAAAAAAGAAGTTTTAAAATCATATATTTCAGAATTATGAGCTCAGATCTGTGCTTGTGAGTTGTGATCATGGATTGTCATTTTGATGGAGAATACAAACTGTTAGCATCACATTTGAAATAAATCAAAAGAAATCTTGCAACATTTGCTAGTAGATGGAAACTTTTGCCTTTTCAATCATCAGAATTACTGAGCCAGCATGGAACTCAGGCCCTTGATCAGATATTGGAGCAACTTCCCTGGTTTATACTCGGAGCTTCTCTACTAGTTACAACTCTTTTGTTGACTGATATTAAATTTAATGTATGCTTATAAATATAAAATTGTTTGAATTCCATTTCTTGAAAACTAGGCTAGAATTTGAGGAAAGATTGGGAAGGGGAGGGGAAAAGTTGGCTGCTTAGGTATGGATCTGTGGATTCATAGATCCTTGGGTATGGGTTTCTTGTGGAACTTCACTTAGTTCCTGTCAGGAGGATTGGTCAATTACTGAGAAGTGGAAGGAACATTGACGCAGCTTAGACTTGTTAAGAAAGTACCAAGAGAAAACAATACTTGACTTTCTGTGTCTGACTTGTTTGCTGCTTTCCTTTCAGACAGGTGTGAGAGAGGGATGGAGAATTTTGAGTTTCCCTTCCCATTGGAGTTTGGAGTATGTGTGTGTCTGTGTGTTTTAAAGTAATGAGAAATTATGTGAGAGTGAATCCCTGCCTTTTCTCCTTTTTAAAATGTCTTTTGTGGGATAGTGGGCTTTAATGCTTATGTATTAATTATGTTTTAGTGTTTGAAATACTAATAAATTTAAAAAATTTTTTTTATAGGAAAGTCACCAGAGGAAAAAAAGGAAATCAGAAGCTGTAGGAACGAGTGACCAGATTGACTTGTTGGCTCTTGGTACAGCAGTTGGTAGCATTTTGTTGTACAGTACAGTAAAAGGAGAATTACATAGTAAATTAATAGTAAGTATATTTTATATAGAAAATAATGGCAAGGAAATGAATTATTAGAGATTATTGAAAAAACAATGTAATTACAGTGTACTATTCACATGAAGAAGGATGAAATCATGTCATTTGCAGAAAAATGGATGTGGCTAGAGATCAGACTGTATTTTCAAGAACTAGTTATAAAGGTTTTTTTTTTTTAAAGAGAGAGAGAATTTTAATATTTATTTTTTAGTTTTTCGGCGGACACAACATCTTTATTTGTATGTGGTGCTGAGGATCGAACCCGGGCCGCACGCATGTCAGGCGAGCATGCTACCGCTTGAGCCACATCCCCAGCCCAGTTATAAATGTTTTTAATGATTATGACTGTCTAAATTCCCACTTAATTGGATAGTCCACTTGTCATGTAACTGTTAACTGACCATTTGGGAATTTCTTTTTTTGTTGTTGTTGTAAAATAATGACTTTTATTTTTCTGTCCAATGGATTTCCTGAATTCTTAACTTAAAATTAGGGAGACAAAGAGTTTTGAGTGTTATGGCTGATTTCTGAAAGAGTCTCCTTAATTTTTTCTTTTATCAGCAATGGAAGGACAATACCTATATCTCAGTAGCGTTATTTCTACCATGAATATTCCATTGAAACAGCAGCAGTAAAAAAAAAAAAAAAATCCCCAACTAATATGGTAGAGGAAAAATTTTGAGTTTTAGATCTACCTTTAGAAGTCTTCTGTTTGTCTATTACAAATTATACAAATAATACCCAGCTGTTAAAAAAAGGTAAAACATTCAAGATCTGTGTAGCAGGAAGGAACTCTCCCTTTATTTGTCTCTTCCCAGTTAGGGTGATCATCATGTGGGATCTTATCCCACTGTAGTTAGGAAACCATCCTTTGGTCAGTTTTTGTGGACAACAGATTTATATCATCCTGTGCAATGGAAGTGGTTGCTTTGGCCCTGGGCATGATGCTGATGGAACCTAGAAGTTCTTTTTAAGTCATTTTAATACCACACAGGGGGCTGGTGTTATGGCTCAGCAGTAGAGCGCTCGCCTCTCACATGCAAGGCCCTGGGTTTGGTCCTCAGAACCAAATAAAAATAAATAAATAAAATAAAGCTAAGGAAAAAAATACCACACAGGATTATAACAATATCTTTAAGAGGGATCACAGAGGAACTCAGAGGCAGGGTGATGAACAGTGTTGTGATGGTTTGGTAAAATAGAAAAGGACCATGCAGGCATTAGAGCTAGTCTGTTTTGAGGTTGACTCCTGCTAGTTAAGTGATCATGGGTAGGGGGTGGGGGTATGGCTCAGTTGATAGAGTGCATGCACAAGGCCCTGGGTTCAGTCCTTAGCAATACACACACACACGCACACACAAAGTGATCATAGGTAAATTAACTTATCGTCTCTTAAATGGGTATTGGATAACCTGCCTCTTGACTTGGACATAATAGTGTATTTAAAGTGCCTGGCATGTAATGGTATTTGTTAAATGTTTGTTGAATGAGTAAGTGAATGAAAGGATACATTGCTAAATTGCTTTCCAAAAGGACACTAATTTTTCACTGCCACCAGAAATATATTGTAAGGCCATTTTTATTATGTCACCAGCACAGGCAGTATAACGATAAGTTGCTAGATAAACAGACTGAAAATGCTACTTTGTTTTGGTTTGTATTTGATTACTAACAATTGAGCATTTTGATATATTTGATACATATTTCTGAATTCTTTCTGTGGGATTTATGTATTCATATCCTTTGTTTAATTCTTTGTGTATAATATAGGAATGAGTTCTTTGACTTGACAGCTGAAAAGAGGGAAGGGAAATAATTGAACTTAATGTTGTAAAATATTCTCCTTTGGAAGTAAGAGTAATTTTATTTGGAAGTAGCTTACATGATTTTGAGTGATTACTTTAACTGTAATGAATGGATGTAGGTTGGGCTTAATTAAGACCTAACATTTTGGTTACAACTTTTATTTTTTCTTTAATTTTTTTTTAATATTTTATTTTTTAGTTGTAGTTGGACACAACACCTTTATTTCACTTATTTATTTTTATGTGGTGTTGAGGATTGAACCCAGGGTCTCGCACGTGCAAGGTGAGTGCTGTACCGCTGAGCCACAACCCCAGCCCATAATTTTTATTTTTTTAACCTGCAGAGTGGTGGACATGACAACAGAATCAATTGTGTACAGTGGCATGAAGACAGTGGCTGCTTATATAGTTGTTCAGATGATAAATATATTGTGGAATGGAACGTACAGACATGCAAAGTAAAGTGGTAAGTAGCACTGATGGCTCTGGAATTGGTGGCGGACTTATTTACCATTTGGAAATATAACAAGAGTTTGATAAATCCTGCTAGACAAAATGGGGAATAAACACATTAAGAAGGTTATGTACTGTTCTCAGGGAACCTTTAATCAAATTAGGCCTGCAAGATTTTAGTACATAAAAGTAAAATGGTACAAGGGGAAAATAATTGTAGAAGAGATTTTATTTGGAAGTAGCTTACATGATTTTGAGTGATTACTTTAACTATAATGAATGGATGTAGGTTAAGGCTTAATTAAGGTAGCATGTGGTTATTTTTCAGATGAGTACAGTAGTGTTGAAGTCCTGGTGGAATAGAAGGTATGTCAGTTGGACTAGGACAGATAGAATTTGGATAGAGGAGGGCAGGAGAGTCCTTTTAATAGTAGATTAAGGAAAGTGAGTAGATAGCAAGAGCAAAGGCCAAGATATAGAAAAGTGAAACATTTACTTGTGTAGTGAGTAATTTAAAGGAGGTGCGGACTAGATGATTATGCATGGTAGAGAATAGAAATATCAAATTAATAAAAATTACATCAGAAGAGGGAAGTGGTTTGGGGGTTTTTAGACAAGTTGAATTTGAAATCATGTGAAAGACAAGACCTAGCAGTCAGGATGGTGACAGGCTTAGAATTTAAGGGGAGGGCTCAGGACTGGAGGTACTGGTGAGGAAACTATTTGCACTCCATTTACGTATAACAGTAGTTTTTATACTGGTGACCTGCTTGAAACACCTGTCAGATCCAGAGGGTCTGGAATGGGACCTGTGTTGTTATATTCTGGATGAGAATTCGTGAAGTTGGTTTCTTCACATGGAGACCAGTAATGTTCAAGGCACATTGTTCAACAGTTTAGACCATTGTGTTTAATCATAATACAGTGATGTTGGCTTTGTCCCTACTTTATAATTGAGAAATAGATGAAGAGCTTGACCTCTTGCCTTTTAAACTATGCTCTTTTTAAATATTTGTTTACAGCTTTATCCTTAACATTCTTCTGTTAATTGACCCCCCCCCCCCCCCCCCCCATTTTAGATACTATCTACTTATTTCCTCCTGTGGAAGATGAGGATTTAACTCTCTTATATCTCTTCCTTGTTATTATATTAGATTTGGTTCAGCAGTATTTGTTGTTTATATTATGATTCCTTATTGTTAAAGCTGAGGTTTGGATTATCCCAGGTTTACATTTCCTTGTACAAAATTTTTCTTTTCTTGGGGTTTATCACATAGTTTTCTTCACATAGTTTAATATGTACCTGATATTAGTTTACTCTCATTCTTAACAGTAATGTAAATCTTCCAGTTATATTTAGACACATCAATTAGTTTTATTTATTTCTTGAGAGAATTTCTATTGTCCTGGGTTTGCTGAATAGCCACTGTTGTGAGATTTGCTTTCATCATCATCCTGAAAAATTTCTCTTGTTAGATTGAGCCTCTGTTGCCTGGATGACATTTTCCCCTCTCTTGGTTAGGGAACACTGGTCGATAGCTTCTTAAGGAGAAGGGTGTGTTTGTGGTGAATTTTTGAGATTTTGTTTACTCACTGTTGTCATTTTAATTCTACTGTCTTCATTGATAGTTTGAGGATAAAGATTTTAGTTTGAAATTACTTTCCCTCAGAATGTTTTATTTTGTTTCATTTTGGGATAGGGCCTCATGGAGTTGCCAGGGCTCCAGTGATCCTCCCACCTCTCAGCCTCTGGAGTGGCTGGGATTACCCTGTTTTCCTTTAGGACTTTGAAGGTGTTTGTTCCATTGTCTTTTCAGTGTGAATTATCTTGGGTATTCTGTAATTTTATGTGCTCTCTAATTAATTAATTGCATTGGTGCTGGATGAGACCATTTCTAGGCCTGGCAGCCTAGAAATTCACATGCTTCATTTTTCTTGTACTATTCATTAGATAATTTTATTCACTATTTTTTTAACTCCCTATTACTATATACTGTTTTTCAGATCTTGTATTTTGTGAGCTGATTATTGCAATTTCTGACTTGTTTTCTCTGGTTTTTCATTTTGCCTTTTTATTTGTTATCTGTTTAATTTTTTCAATTTCATTTTCAAAACCTTCTGTTGAGTTAGGCGTAGTTTTGTGTACAGCTGTAATGCCAGAGACTCGAGGCTGAGGCAGGCTCAAGGCCAACAACTTAACAAGGCCCTTAGCAACTTAGTGAGACTCTGTCTCAAAACAAAAAGTTTAAAAAAAAAAAAAAAAAGGGCTGGGGATGTGGCTCAAGGGTAGCGCGCTTGCCTGGCATGCGTGCGGCCCGAGTTTGATCCTCAGCACCACATACAAACAAAGATGTTTGTACGCTGAAAAGTAAAAATAAATATTAAAATTCTCTCTCTCAAAAAAAAAAAAAAAAAAGAAGTTGTGGCTGTAGAGTTTATCAGTGGATAAGATTAAAAAAAAAGTGGGTATGTAGGTCAGTGGTAGTGCACCCTTGGTTTCAGTCCTCAGTACTGGGGGAAAAAACCAAAAAACTTCTATAGAATTTATAATTTCTCTTGTATTTTTAACTTCTAGGAGGGTTTTTTTATTTCTTCTATATTTCTTTATCATTGAATTTTTTTAGTTCTCTGAAAATAATAGATGTAATATTTCAATTTTTTTCTCTTTATAATCATCTTTTGAGGGTGATGTGTGGTGATTTGTCTGATTTAGTCTATTTTTCATGTTGAAGGCATTCTTTAAATTGCTGGAGATCCTTGGCTGCCTATTGCATCTTAAAAATTAAAAAAGCTGATTGGAAGGTTTTGGTGTGGGTGTGTGACTCAATTGTTGGGGCCTTATTTGTGGCTTGATTGAAGGGCCTTAAAATGTCAGTGTGTAGAATGTTCTTCTCTAGTGCTTTTTATGCTTTAACCCATTATGGCTCATCATCAAAAATATATGGGATACCTACAAAAGCCTATAAGATGGGAGAATTTTTTATCCTCTTCCTCATAACATGCCATGTTGAGAGGAACCTATGAAGGAGACTTCACTCTAGTATATGTCTAGGATTATGAACTTAACACAGGATTTTAGGGGATGCAATTGTCCTAGGATTTCAGATGGTATTTTTATTGCTTGTTTTTGTTGTTTTATGGTTTGTTTTGCCCCATCAGTGAGATGTGTTTACCTCTCTTCACTATACAGCAAATGGAAAGGTGACAATAGCAGCGTCACTTCCCTGTGTATCAGCCCAGATGGAAAAATGTTGCTTTCAGCTGGTCGAACAATCAAACTATGGGTTTTGGAGACCAAAGAAGTCTACAGAGTGAGTCAAATTATTTTCTAAGCTGACAATCATATACATTATGTAAGAGAAAGATAAAGAAGTTTGAGTTGTAGAATGTTGTTTCCTAAGTACAAATTCTTAGTCATGCTCCATGGTTTCTTATAGTTCCAGCACTTGGCAGGCTAAGGCAGCAGGATTGCTTGAGCCCCGGAGTTTGAGTCCAGTCTGGGCAGTCTAATGAGATCCCCATCTCAACCCACCCCTCCCCCCGGCAACCAGCCCAAACAGATTTTTAAATTTTTAGGTACATCAATTAGATAAAAATTAGCCTCCAAATTTGATTCGTTGATATTAAGTACATTATAGACAAGTTTGCATTTTTCAAAAAAATGAATAAAATAAACAAATGGACTCTGAACTTAAAATCTATTCTACCATGCAAGGATTGTGGTAATTTTGTTTTCTTGCTTGTATCCAGCATTTGGTCCATTTATAGTGTTTAACTATGGAGATTAGTATTAGGAGGGAAAAACAGTTGAATTCAGAGGTTACTCAACTTTTGGTGCTGTGATGATGCCTTAAAATTGTGGTTTCGACTCACTGAGAGTAAAATGAGGACCTACAATTCCTTGGCTGTGTCTGAGCACCTGAGCACACTTGAGAAATGAGTAGAACTGGGGCTGGGGATGTAGCTCAATGGTAGAGCCCTTGCCTAGCATGTGAGATACCCTTTGTTTTAATCCTCAACATTGTTAAAAAAAAATAAAAATAGAATTAAAAAATGGAAGAAATAAAGTTAATGTGGTAGGATCATGGGAGTTAAAAGGAACATCTTAATTTTCAGTGTTTTCAGAGTTTTTATTTTATTTTTAAGAAGAGGGGATTATAACATAAATAATATCATTTGCTTACTATTAAATAGAATTGTTACTTCCCTATAGAGCTGTTTTGTTAGATAATATCATTTAGAGCTTATTTATGATGATACCTAGGGAATTTTAATGTTTGTAGTGCTTTGAATCCATCCTCTCCTAAATAAGATTTAACTTTCTAGCACTTCACAGGACATGCGACACCAGTTTCATCACTTATGTTCACTACTATCAGACCTCCTAATGAGAGCCAGCCCTTTGATGGAATTACAGGTCTTTATTTCTTATCTGGAGCAGTGCATGACCGGTTACTTAATGTCTGGTAGGTAGTTCTTTTGAATTTGGGACACAGCTTTGCCTTAAAATCTGTCAAAGCTTATGTGGTTAATAAAAAAAGAGTATGAAACTTGCTTTATTGCATTTAATGTTGGTATTACCTTGACTTGTAATAAAGAATTTAGTCTGCCTAAAAAACATATTTTGAGAACACTTAAGAACATTATATAATATAACCTCTCTGTTTGGAGATGCAGGGGTCTCGGTATTTTTGTGCCTGGGCAGTTTAAAAGTAGCTTAAAATATATTTTTAGGAAAACTTCATTCTGTTGAATATGTGGTGCCACTGGATTAATGCAATAATATCTATTTACAAATGGTTTGCTGAGGATATAAATTTTCCTGACTTATTACTGAGATTTACCAATAATCCCCTTTTTTTGTAGTAGTAGTTACTAATTCACTCAGAAGTTAACTTTTTTTTTTTTTTGAACCCAGGGCCTTGTGCATGTGAGGCATGCACTCTACCAACTGAGCTATATCCCCATCCCCTCAAAAGTTACTTTTAATCCATCTTCTTCTAAATGAGATTTTTAAAAATAAAAATTTGTTTGATGTTAAATAGCCATCAGAAAGTTTTTAAATGAGAAATTTTTTGAAATTTATGTCAGCATCTGATGGTGCTTTTATTCCCAACTGCTTTTCATGGGTAAAAAGAGTCTTTAAAAATGGAAATAGTTTCTCATTCTAGTAATAATTAGTTGAGCATGTCCTTGACCATATAAAATTACTATGTGTTTACAAAACAGTGCTCATTTAGAAGTGCAGCTCACCAAGCTGGGTTTGATGGTATGCACATGCTATCCCAGTACTTTGAGGAGATGATGTTATCTCTTATTGATGGGCTAAGATGGAATTTTTACAAGTTGATGAAAAGAAGTTGATTTTTGAATAGTGTTTGTAAAATCACATTTGTTAAACTCATTTTTATACAAAATAAAGTTTAAGGTCTAACTTAAGTAAACTGCATACTTCTAAAATGTACAGATTGATGCTTTGATCTACATGTACATATTTTGAAAACCTTGATCACAAGCAAGACAACATGTGCATTGCTCCCAAGAGTTTTCTGGGTCCTTTGCTAATCCCTCCCTACCCCAAGTTTCCAGGTTTGTTGACAGATTAGGATCATTACAGATAGAGCTGCTATGCATGTTTGTGCACAAATCTGGACTGGCATGATTTCATTTCTCTTTAGTGAGTACCTAGGAGAGCAGTGGCTAGAGTGTATGATAGGTGAACATTTTAATTTTTTTAAGATTGTCATATTTTGTTTTTCAAAGAGGTTGTATCATTTTATATTCCTGATAGCTATGTAAGAGAGTACTAATTTCTTCACATTCTCACCAACACTTGGTATGGCAATTAATTTAAGCCATTCTAATAGATGGGTAGTGATGTTTCATCGTGGTAGTAAATTGCAGTTCCTACCATAAATGCCTAATGATCATATTTTTCCATTATGGGTATTCAGTGATTGCAGTACTATTTTTTGAAGAGGTTGTCTCCACTGAGTTGGTTTTGCCTATGTATACACACACTCATACAAGTATACAGTTGATTCTCAGTATTCATAGTTGTTCTGTTAAGTCCGTATGAACTTTGATGTACTGGATCCTTAACCATAACTCCTTTGATGGAGAAAAATATTTAGGTTATCAGTAGCCTCTGGTCAGAGCATTTTTTGTCATCTAGGTAATGCATAACCTTATTTTATGTGTGTTTTGTTTAAAGATACCTTATTTAGTATGTATTTTGATTAACATTAGACTCCTACCACTGTAACTCAGTCTTATTTGACATATATTTTCTCTATAAGGCACATTAGAACCTTATTGCACTTAGGAACATATACAACACTTTAGTACTATGCTTTTAGGTAGCTATTTTTTTAAAAATATTATTTTAGTTGTCAATGGATCTTTATTTTATTTATTTATATGTGGTGCTGAGAATTGAACCCAGTGTCTCATACATGCTAGGCAAGTGCTCTACCACTGAGCCACAACCCCAGCCCTTGGGTAACTTTAAACAGTGAAATTACTAATAAACAAATATAATGAAAATTCAGAAATGATGGCACTAAGTAGACTTCTTATATAAGAGCTGAAATAAGGCAGATGAAGCCTTGTTCAGATTTCTGGAAATGCTGGGCATTGGACAGCTTGCAGCTTTCATTTTCCCACATATGACTGAATAAGCATGAATGCTCACAGACAATAATTTTGGGGTTACAAGTAAGTTTTAGCAAGTATGTGAATTCACAAATACATAGTCCATGAAGAATGAGGATGGTGAGTGTGTGGAAGGGGGTATAGACATATTATGTCTGTTTCTGGACACTTTTTCTTGATGTTATAAAGTGAATTATTTCTAAATTGACTATAGACTCCATGCAAACCAAAATCCCATCAGCCTTTTTCAGAGAAATTGTCAAGCTGATTCTCAAGCTCAAATAGACATGAAAAAGACATAAGAATGGTCAAAGTGACTTTGAAAAACAAAAAAAAAAAAGTTGGACTAACATGGTCTGACTTCAAGACTTCAAGCTTTTATCAAGCTGTTAATCAAAACATTGTGATGACATCAAAATAGACAAAGAGATCAATAGAACAGGATAGAGAATGTTATTCATTGTTTTAATATGCCAGAAATGTATTAATACTTTGTATTTCCAGACCAATATGCTAATAAGGTTGTGGCATGGATGTTCCCCTTATTTTGACCTTTAATAATCTTACTCAGCTTTCAAAAGATCAACAAAAACTATAGGGACTCAAATACTGTGATTTCCCTCTTGGGTAAATCTGTCTTCTTATTTAATGGTTGCTTTTGTTTTCTAGGCAGGTCCGGTCAGAAAACAAAGAAAAGAGTGCAGTGATGTCTTTTACGGTCACTGATGAACCTGTCTATATTGACTTGACTTTGTCAGAAAATAAAGAGGAGGTAAGTGGCTTGATTTTTGAGAATTGTTTTTGGATTTTATAAACTTTAGTCTTAAAGTATGGATGTGAGGGAGTAATAACAAAATGTAACCAAAATCTTAGACTGTGGAAGCAACATTACATCACTGTGATAAGTTCTTATAAGAGGAAGGGAAGGGGAAGGTTTGTGTACAAAGGTAGTATATATTTAAGTCATCATGTAAATTAACAAAATTTTGTATCAAATGCATTTTTTTTGGTTATAAAACCTTATAGGTCCTAACTAAGATGTGTTTTGTTCCAAGAATGACATCCCATGGGCAAAGGGGCACATGCCTGTAATCCCAGTAACTTGGAAGTAGAGTTTGAGACCAGCCTGGGCAATTGAGTGACACTGTTTCAAAAAATAAAATGGGTTGGTGGTAGCTCACTGGTAGAGCTTCCCTTGATTCAATCCCCAGTAACAGAGGGTGGGGAAACCACATTATTCTGTTTGATGCTTTTTTATATTTTAGAATTTTCAGCATTAAATAAATATGGCTTTACTGAAGTTCTTCATGTTCATGTGTCTGTTTGACTAAAGCTGGGTAAGATTTTGATTTGGGCAGAATATTTGAATCTTTTTTTTTTTTTTTTTTTAAGACAGTTTTAGGATATTTCATAACAGGTTTTGAAATTTGTATGTTGCAAACCCTTAGGGATTTAGAGATGATTTAGAAATTTTTCATCTTGTTTTAATATTTCTGAAAAGTACTGTAGTGGAATGAGCATTGGTTTAAAAATTTTAAGAGACTGGTTTAGATATCGATTCTGCTGTTAGCAAACTCAGGGTTTTTCTTTGTGTTTTTTTTGTTTGTTTGTTTCCTTTTCCTTTGAGGGGGTGGGGGGGCTTGCCCAGGCTGGCCTCTAATGCTGAATCTTCTTGCCTCAGTCCCTGAAATGTCTGGACATGGGTGCATGTTTCTGTGTTGGGATTACAAGCTTGGCTTTATAATGGAAGTGTGGGGATGTTGATTAGATCAGTGATTGCCTATAAGGAATTCCGTCTTTTAGGATCCAGTTCAGATAGCGAGGAGATAACACAGTTATTATTTTTAGAAAACTATCCTAGGAATCCAACATGTAACCATTATATACTTTATAAAGTCATAGGTTTGAGAACATTTGGTGTGATTGGTGCACTATCTCATGTTTATTATAGAAGTTTTGATCATAGGAAAGTAATATAATGAGAAACACTTTGGTATTTATTCCCATGTTATTAAACAAAATCACTTGCCAAAAAGTTTAAAACGTGTGTGTATGGTTTTTTAGTGGTAGGTACTTTGAATCTAAATTCCAGTAACTTCTATAATAAGAGAAATCATGCTCAATAACTTTAGAAAATGGACTGCATTTTTGCTTTCTTATTTTGTGACCGAATTCTTTTGCTACATTTAGATTTAACTTTTTTTTTATCTAATAATAATACTGGCACTATACTTAAAATTGTCAATAATAAAACAGGGCTTTTTAAAAAAGGTGATGGCATAAGAAGCTAATTCTGACAAGTATCAGCTAATTCTGACTTTAATAAAATTGTAGTTATAGTAATTTAAAGTAAAATTCCAAAACAAAACCTCAATTCTGATACTGCCCAATATTTTACTTGTGTATTCTGACAGTAACACAGATTGTTCCTTTGCCAGAGGTGATCATTTTTAAGTTGATCCTCGCTGTTCTTTTCCTCTGATTATTTAAAAGGATGGGAAGAAAATTGAGTTTTTATGGATTGGGGACTGACGCATATTATTCACTGAGTTAATCGGCTACATTTTTCTTTTAGCCTGTCAAGTTAGCTGTTGTTTGCAGAGATGGTCAGGTCCATCTTTTTGAACACATATTAAATGGGTAAGTAAGAAGTTTTCCTGGTCAGAAATTTGTTTCCCTGTTTATTTTTCGTATTTCCTCCTCATTATTCTTTCATTATATTACAGTTCATTTAGTTTATTTATTTATATTAATACAGTAAGAACCCAAGTTTTTGGAGTTATGGACCATTTTAATTTTTTTGTGTGTGGTTAGGAGAGTGACTTTTAAAATACAAGTATAGGGATTTAACTATAGACCATTATAAAAGTAGTATGTACTCACTTTCAAACATTCAAGAAACTCGAATCTTCCTCCATTGAGTTCTCCTAGGGGTATCCATAAACGTAGTGTGTAGCCCTTGAGACTTATTTACATAGTGGTGTGTACATGGAATGTATAATTGAGACCTAAAGGAACTGGGACCCAGAGATAGTGAGCCCAGTGAGGACTTGGATATTTCTTCTTGGGTACTGGTAAGCTGTTGAAGGGCTTTAAGTGGAGCATTGATGGGATTTGATCTAAATTTTGAGGCAGTTATTCTGTGTGACATGCTTGAAATAGCCTAAAGAGAGGTAAAGGCCAAAGCAGAGATGCAAATTCTTGGTTTCTAGGTATAGTTGTGAAGTTATTATACTTGAAGGAGTAAGTTGGAAAGATAGCTTTAAGTTTAAATGATAGAGGAGGGTGCACTTAAGGAATAAGTGATAATATATCTAAGGTGTGAGGAATGTGTGACTGAAATACAATGAAGGGTACAATCATTGGAGGTAGGAACTGAGATACCAGAGTATTAGAAGTCTCTTCAGCCTGAACATGAAATATGGCAACTGCCAAGAAAGGAATTCATTAGGGAGCAGTGTTGGGAAGAAGGAAGTAAACCACTGAAATCTTCCAGAAATATAGGGGAGTAACCCAGAGGTGGCAACAGGAAGGGTGTTGCTGACAACATTTGAAAGTTTTCAGGTGAAAGAGGGAGAGACTGTAGTCTTGAAGTGTCAGTGGAGAACAAGGAGCACACGTAAATCAGATCTTACTAAGGTCTCTGGCACAAGGGTGTGGGAGACAAAACAGCTACAGCTTGAGAGGGTGGCAAGGATGAGCCAGGGAAGATAAGGTTAAAAATGTCCTTACATATGGAAGACATAATTTTGTTTCTGGAGCTATATTGCAGAGGTCATGGTGAGGCTTCTGGGGGTTGGGAACTGTTGGAGATGGGACTGGCTGGAAGAGAGAATGTGTGTAAGGGCTGAAGTGAGGGGCAGGTTGGAGCAGGTGAGAGATCATTTGGGAGCTTAGAGAGTCCTTTTCTTTTGGTACTGGGGATTGTACTCAGGGAAACTTAACCATTGAGTTATATCCCCATGTCTAAAAAATCTCACTAAGTTGCTGAGGCTAGTCTTGAACTTGGAATTCTCTTGCCTCGGCCTCCCAGTGGTTGGGATTACAGGCATGTGGCATTGTGCCTGCCTGAGGCCTCCGTTTGGGGCTTTCCTGGGTCCTGACAGAGTGGGGCAGAGGGGCAGGTGTGTTTCAAGGCCAGTTTTAGCATGGAGGTGTTGGTGGGGGCAGGTGAAATCTTGAAAGACATACTTGTGCTTCAGGTAATGATGGTAGTGTGGAGGTTAGAGTAGGGTTACTTTACGTGACTAGGTGCCAGCTTCAGAGAATTAGTAAGAGGTGTTGTTTGAAATTCTCTAAACTTAATATATTTTTTTTTCCCTATTCCTAGACACTGCAAAAAGCCTTTGACTTCAAACTGTACAATTCAGATAACAACACCTGGGAAAGGCAAGAAATCAACACCAAAACCCATCCCTATTCTAGCAGCTGGCTTTTGCCCAGACAAAATGTCATTGTTGCTTGTATATGGCAATTGGTTTCAGCCTACTATTGAGCGAGTGGTACGTAGATGCTACTCTGGAGAAAAACAATATGGCATCAACCCATCCTTGGGAAAGAGGAATTTTTTTTTTTTTTTTTTTTAAAGAACACATTGGCTACTCATTGGAATACTTAAGGAGAAATAGGACCTTCCACTGGGTGTTTATTTTAATTTGTAAGAACTTTGTGTTCTATTCAGCCCAGTATACCTAAAATAACATTTTCACACTTACTTGATATAAAGTATTGTTTTGAAATAGTTAATGTTATTTTACACTTCCCTCTTTTGGCATTTTGTCTTCTGGTGTGCATTTTATTTTACATTTATACATCTCAATTGGGATTAGCCTCTTCTTAGTGCCCAGGAGCCTCATGTTCCTACTGTTGTTGTTTTGGTTATCACAGGTATGACTTGTGTTGAATTTTGTCTAGTTACATAAAATGGAAATCTTCATAAGAGCCCTTTGTGATAGCACCCATTGTATTTTCTAAGTGGGATTGCGGTGGACAGTGCAATGACTTAACATTTTTTACTATAGAAGTTTCTTCGAACACTTGTGAATTATTGGCATGTCCATATAGGTGATTACTTGAGCTCGCATTTTTAGTACTTAATAAGGCCCTCAGGGAAACTCTGAGTGGAATAATGCATGGCCACCATTTGTTGAGTTAAAAAGTATCTTTTTCGCTGGGTATGGTGGTGCACACCTGTAATTCCGGCGGCTTGGGAGACTGAGGCAGGAGGATCAAGAGTTCAAAGCCAGCCTCAGCAAAAGTGAGGTGCTAAGCAACTCAGTGAGACCCTGTCTCTAAAAAAAAAAAAAAAATAGAAAAAAAGGGCTAGGGATGTAGCTCAGTGGTCGAATGTCCCTGAGTTCAATCCCTAGTATTCCCCAGAAAAAAATAGAATACCTTTTTTTCACAATTATTTTTTTCCTTTGGTGCTAGACATTAAATCCAGGTCTTCATGCTTCTACCATGGAGTCACGTCTCCAGCCCAGTGGATACTTAAAAAAAAAACAAAAAAAACTAATGCATAGATTTAAAAATAAAAGTCTTCTGGGTGTGGTGGCACATGCTTGTAATCCCAGCAACTCAGGAGACTGAGGCAGGAGAATTGAAAGTTTGAGACCTACCTGGGCAACCTAATGAGACATTGCCTCAAAAACTTAAAAAAAAAAAAAAAAAAGTGCTGGGGATGTAACTCAGTGGTGGAGCACCCCTGAGTTAGATCCAGGTACTGCCAAAAAGAATGAAGAAGAAAAAAGTACATTTGCTCTTTTAAATTATGAATGTAAAAAATTCTACAGTGTCTTAGGAGTTTACCCATTTCCCCAGTTGCTGTAAGAGTGGTGATTGTGGCCAACATTTTAGTGAGGAAGCCTTCTACACTAATTTTTTTATTTTTAGAAAATGCACAATTAATCATTGTTTGTCATTTTGTTCTTATTCCCAATTGCTTTGTTTGACATTCTTTTCTCTTCCCTCCATCTCCCTTCTTTTAAAAAATATTCTTAGGCTTTAAACTCCAAAGAAACTCATATGTGTTTAGTAAGAGATATTTCAAACTGCTGGGCCCCAAAAGTAGAAACAGCCATAACAAAGGTAAGTACATTCCACATTCCAAGTAAATTAAGTAAAAATGACATTTGGGGGGGATTGTTCTGTAGTATTAAACTTCATTTATCTTTTTAATTCTGTACTTTGTGATCTTGCCTTAAAAATTTTGTGGGATTACAGTTTTAGATACCAAGATTATAAAACTTCATTTAGGTGCTCTTGATTTGTTGACTAAGAGAATGGTTGGCTGGCTAGAATTAAAAACCTTGGGTTTAGTTCTTTCTTGCCCAGGTATATGATCATCAGGACAAGGAATACGTAGCAGTGAATATTAACTTTGTTAATGAATGGTTCTCAGTCTCAGTACTTTAAAAAAAAATCTTTGTTGAGAAGAATATTGTGTTTTAGGGTGCAGTAAAACCACAATGAGGTTAAAATTTATTCCCACACATAAAGAGCATCATTGTGGTGCTGTGCTTTGAATATAACTAACTTGGTGTCTACATATAAATGTCATGTATTTAACAGTTTAAGGGGAATGGGAAAGCCCAGACATGCTATGATGACAACCACATGGTTTCGCTTCTGGCTGAGTTTCAGAGATGACACTTTTCTCTTGGCTGTCTGAGCATTTCTGGCAAAGATTGATTTTTGGAGGTGGTCATAAAATGTATAACTTTGCTCTTTAACATTTTTAAATCAGTGTGTCCGTCCTTGGGTAATCTGTAGGTTTTGCTTCTTATTTTTTATTCCTTCATTTTGAGGGGGATGACTGGGGATTAACTCAGGGCACTTTATCATTCAGTTACATCCCCAGTCCTTTTTATATTTTATTTTGAGATAGGTTCTCACTTAGTTGCTGAGAGCCTCACTGGTTTGCTGAGGCTGGCCTTGATCTTCTGATCCTCCTTTCTCAGCCTCCTGATTCATTGAGATTATAGGCTTGCTCCACCATGCCCGCTGTTTTTCACTTTTAACAAAGTCTTAGAAGTTTTAAAGCCATGTATTCTCAGGTTATTATGTTAAAACTTAATTTGCCCACATTCAGTTAAAATTTACCTTGTATTCCTATCATGGCAATTAGATTACGTTGAGTTTTTCAATAGAAAAGCCTTTTGAAGAGTTTTGTTTTCTCATTGAGGAACCATAAGGAGTAAGGCATAATTTCCTTTTATACATTCCCAAAACTGTGTTTAACAGGTGAGAACACCAGTGATGAATTCTGAAGCAAAAGTTCTGGTGCCTGGGATTCCTGGGCATCATGCTGCTATCAGGCCTCCTCCACCAGCCAAGGAAGTAGAGACCAAGAGGAAATTAGGAGGAAACGAGGTACTGCAACCCCTTTGACCAGATACTTGAGTTTGAGATTTAAGATTGCTTGTGAGAGTGTAATAAGTATATTGAATAATGCTAAAGCTGAATCTTTATAAGAAATGTCCTAAGTTTGTTGCTGTTGTTCTGTGTTCCTCCCAGGCAGCTTAGGTCCCCAAATTCTAGATTGTCACCTTTATAAGACTTGACTTGGTCACTGTTAAGAGAAAGTGGAATTTTTTTTGGATCAAATTTTGGCCATTTGTTAATAATTAACAGGATAATATAAAATTGAATAAGCCAGGACTTGCTGTGATGATTTTCATTGGTTTCGCATATTGCTGAGTCCCAGTGATGCCTCTTTTCTCTTGGCTGTCTGAGCAATCCTGGCTGGTTTTGTGCCAGTTGGTCTTTAAAAATGGTCATTATAATTGCTTAAAATGTTTATAAACATTATTTTTTTCACTCTCAAAACCCTTCTGTAGTTATTGTATTTAATCTCTGCAGAGTTCTCCTCTTCATCTTTCATTCACATTCTTCACTTTTGTCTAAGTAATCTAGAATTTTATCAATTCTTTAGCTGGAGGCGTTGGAGGTAACCTAGCTGTTCATAAATATTATTCCTTAGTAGTGTGATATCTGGCCTTAAATAAAAGTATGAGCTTTCTTTAGCCTGGCCTAGATTCATTTCTTTAATATCCTTCCTTTTTAATGTTTTCCATATGTTAGGATAAATCAAGTAGGAAGCTTTCCAGAGCACATCTGTTTGCTTTGTTAGTCATAGAACAGATTTATATCTTCACTTTGCTACCAAGGAGCTGGAAAATTATGGTTTCAGTCAGGGATCAGTTCTTTCAATTGGGTCTTTGTATCATAGTCATATATGTTTAAATTAAGAAATATTATCAAGAACACTTGTCTGTAGTAAAGCATATAGCTAATAAAAGCATCTAGCTAATAAAACATTTGGAATCACTAAAAAAAAAAAAAGGAAGACATTTTATGAATTGTTTAGAGTGCATAAGCACTCTCTTTTGATAATTTTTTTTTCCTTTTACAGATCTGAAGTTTTTGACAAGAGATAGTTAGATTAGGGGTAATGGGTTGTTTCTTTTGCTTTAGTAATCAGATGTCAGTTCCTTAACTCTGTTGAATCTTCCATAGTGGGATTCTGTGAATTAACATTTTCAAATCATGCTTCTTTGGCATTCATATTTTTTGTTAGCTTATGGAAACTTGAATTGGAGATGTTTCACTTGTCTTCCATGTAGTCCTTGTGGTAGTGAGATTCCGTTTGAATAAAAATGAACATGTTTGGTTTTTTTTGGGTTGAAATGATTCCTTTTTTTTTTTACAGGGATATATTAACTCAAGGGGATGGGGTTGTGGCTCAGCAGTAGAGCGTTCACCTTGCACGTGCGAAGCCCTGGGTTCGATCCTCATCACCACATAAAAATAAATAAATAAAATAAAGGTATTGTGTCAACTACAACTAAAAAAATATCTATTTAAAAAACCGTCAAAATTGATTTTATTATTATTTTACAAGTTAAAAATGAAAAATAATAATAGATCCGTTAAACATTAAAGAATTCTTATTAATGTTAATATGAGAGAAGGAAAAGAAAAACAGTAAATCAGTTGAGTGTGTTTTTGTCTCTCAACTATATTAGGTCTTTTTATTAAATTATTTAAATTTTTTTAAAAGTTGTAGATGTACATAATACCTTTGTTTAATTTATTTATTTTTATGTGATGCTGAGGATCAAACGCAGTGCCTCACACATGCCAGGCAAGCTACAGTCCCAGCCCTATATTAGGTCTTCTCTGATTGATCTTAATAGGTTGTTTCTGTTCTGTAGGTTAGCATTGAAGAACGTCTGGGAGCAATGGATATAGATACAAAAGAAGAAAAAGATGACCTTTTGCAGACGAATAGCTTTCCAGTTCTTCTCACACAGGGTTTAGAAAGTAATGATTTCGAAATGCTAAATGTAAGTATTTTAGCAGTGTTTCAATGAATTAAATTTTTAGTTTTTCCTAGAAAGTGATTGATACAGCACATGACAGTGAATAATCATGTTGTATAGCAGTTTGTAATTAATATTTTGTGAGTTTAGTCAAATGTATATAATATGGTGACATTATACAGACAGTCACTAACCTACAGTGGTTTTGTGTTGAATTCCTTTAAACCTGGAATGCATTTTCTCATAGAAATATTGTTCTGAATTGTTAGTTTTTAGGCTTTAGTTTACAAAAGCCTTTATAAAAATAGTGTAGCTGAATTATAATACTCAGCATTCTAGATCACAATTTATATTTTTTTCTGTAGGAAAATGCGTTCCTGAGTTTTTACTCTGGATTCCAGAAACTTATTTCCCCCTGGCCGTGAGAGGGGGCGGTGAGGTGGAACCTTGACAATGGGTAGGAGGTTTGGGGGGAAATTCAAGAGGGTTGGGGGATATGTTGTAAAATATATGAAGGCAAAAGTACTAAAAATTATATGAAAGGAGGCATTTGGAGGCATTTATGACTTCTGTGGAAGTTGGTGACTGCTTGTATGAAGTTACTCAATTTAATCCTCTTGAATTTCATAACGTGGTAGTGCTCTATATAGAATATTTAATTGTGACATGCATTCTCAATGATTCAGCAGCATCATAGTTTCAGTCATAGTTGTATAATTTGTAACCTGTGAATAATGTCTTTGATTTTATTTCTAAGTGGTAATATATTTGTGTCTAAAGGAGGTTTTACTAAATGAGAGAGGAAATTAGCAAGTCTAAAAACTTCAAATTACTTTTAAAGAAGTTTTAGAAGGTGGATTTTAGTTTACTGTGGCAAAACAACGACAACCTAGGTGAGGATTTTATAAGAAAGAAGCTGTAGAAAACAATTGACAGTACTTTTGAAACGTAATATAACTTGCCTGTCATCATTGCCTATGTAACTATGCTTTGAAACATTCCTCAGTGGGTGAATCAGGTACAAAGTTTTTTTCTTTTTTTACTAAGAAACATTTCAAACTTTTTTTTTTTTTTTTTTGTGGTATTGGGGATTGAACCTAGGGCCTTGTGCATGCAAGGCAAGCACTCTACCAAATGAGCTATTTCCCCAGCCCTCAAACATTTTTGAGTAAAGTGAATCACCATCATTCAGTTTCAGAAATTATCAACACTTGCCATTCTGTTACGGTTCATTTACCTCTCTACCTCCCCAGGTTATAGTGAAACAGATCTCAGAAGTGATCAAATGCCATTTCATTCATAGATACTTACCTATTCAAATTAAAAGCAGCTATAGTCCATTGCTTAAAAAAATAACCACAGTCCATTATCATGTCTAAAAAAGTAAACAGTAATTCTTTAAAATTATCAAATGTCATTAGTGTTTAAATTTTGCTTTCTTTAAACAGGATCTCAACAAATTATATCCTGTACTTTGTTGTTATGTCTGTTCTGTGTTTTGTAATTTACTTTTTGGAGACTCTAGACAATTTGTCTAATAGGGAGTCCCATGTTCTAGATTTTTTTTTTAAATACTCACTTTTCTACCCATATTAAAAAACTTTTTTTTATAGTTGTAGATGGACAGCATGCCCTTAATTTTAATTTATTTATCTATTTATCTATCTATCGAACCCAGTGGCTCTTACAAGCTAGGCAAACTCTCTACCACTGAGCTACAGCCCCAGTCCTCATGTTCTGGATTTTGCCTACTCTGCCTCTGTGGTATCCTTTAGTATGTTCCTTTGTCCATCTTGTTTCCTGAATACTGGTAGTTAGATCTAGAAACTTAAAGACATTTAGTATCAAATCTCTTTTAGCAAGAACTTCTCAAAGGTGTTAATATGTAACTTTTTATCAGATGTCATAGGGTTGTTTGAAAGACAAATGCTGTTTTCAAATTATAAAGGTTTTTGTATTACTAGGTAGAAGCAATTGGAAATTAGTTGAATAAATTATGTGCTTGAAAAGATTGTAAAAGTTACAGTGAAGTGCTCTTAAAATAACCTCGTTTTAGAAGTGAGAAGTAAGCCAGGTGTGGTGGCGTATGCCTGTAATCCCAGCAATTGGAGAGGCTGAGATAGGAGGATTGTAAATTCATGGCCAATCTCAGCAATTTAGCCAGACCCTAAGCAATTTAGCTAGATCTTAAGCAAATTAGGGAGACCATGTCTCAAAATTTAAAAAAATAAATAAGAAGGGTTGTGGGTATAGCTCAGTAACAGCCCCTGGGTTCAATCCCCAGTAGGCCCCCATTCCCTCCAAAATGTTCAAAGTAATGGTAATAGTATATTACCTGGGCATTATGCATTGTGCGAGCTTGGTGATGCATGCCTATAATCCCAGCTATTAGGGAGGTTGAGACAGGATTGCAAGGTCATGACCAGCCTTAGCAATTTAGTGAGGCCCTGTCTCAAAAAATTAAAAAGTTAAAAATGACTGGGGATATGGTTCAGTGGTAAAGTGCCTCTGCATTCAATTCCTCATACCAAAACGGGGGGTGGGAGGCAAGTAAAAACAATGTTTTCTCCCACATAAAATAACTTTACCAGAAGCTGCCTTACAAAGATACATGATGCATAGGAGGACATTAAAAATAGGAATAAGGAAAGTGAGCAAGGACAGGGATATTTATTTAAATTTAATTTATTTAAATTAAATAAATATTTAAATCTATAGTTTATTAAATCAATATTACTTAAATATTTTCTAGGGGCTGGGATTGTGGCTCAGTGGCAGAGAGCTGGCCTTGCATATGTGAGGCACTGGGTTCGATCCTCAGCACCACATAAAAATAAATGAATAAAATAAAGGTATTGTGTTCATCTACAACTAAAAATAAATAAGTAAATATATAAAAATAAATATTTTCTAAAGGTTTAAGTGAAATCTAGAACAGATCTAAAACAGATTAAAATTAAAACATTAAAATCACAATGGACGCAAGAAATTAATTAAAATGGAACCCTGCTTAATTCCCATATTGAGTATTGAATCTAGGGGTGCTATACCACTGGGTTATACCCCCATTCCATTTTTTATTTTATTTTGAGATATGGTCTCACTAAATTGCCAGGCTGGTCCTGACATAGCCTTCCAAGTTAGATTACAAGCTTTGTGCCACTATACCTGGCTCAGACTTAAATAACTGGAGGTCTAACCCATGTTTTTATAAGTTAGAATATTCAGTATTGTTATGATGGTGAATCTCCCCCAATCAATCAATCTATGTATTCAATCCATTCTCAATTAAAATTTCAGAAGTCCCTGTCAGTCATCTTTTAGAAATTGACAAAACTGGTCCTGAAATTTATAGGAAACACAAAGGATGTGAAATCACCAAAGCTATATAACTAAGGTTGGAAGAATTACCCTACCTGGTTTTATGATAAAGCTGTGTGATCCATATAGTTTAATATTGGTGAAAAATATAGATTAAGGGACAAAAACACTCCACAAATAAACTACACACATTGGGGGAAAAAACCTATCTCAGCTTTGTTTCATATATCACGTAAGAATTAATGGAAAGTAGACCATAGGCCTAAATATAAAACTTAACACTAAACTTCTAGAGGAAAATAAGGAGCTTTCTAAGATACATCATGAAAAGCATGAAAGGTTAAAGAAAAAATTGGTAGCTGGGGTCAGTGGCGCATGCCTATAATCCTAGTAGTTTGTGAGGCTGGGGCAGGAGCATCACGAATTTAAAGCCAGTCTCAGCAAAAGTGAGGTGCTAAGCAACTCAGTGACACCCTGTCTCTAAATAAAATACAGAATAAGGCTGGAAATGTGGGTCGGTGGTCGAGTGCCCCTGAATTCAACCCCTGGTAACCCCTTACTCCATCACCACTATTCCCTTCCCCGCAAAAAAAGGGGAAAAAATTGAAAAAAAATAACTTGGACTTCTTGAAAATTACAAACCTCTTCTCTTGAAAAGATAATGTTAGAATCATGAAAAGAGAACCTGTAAGCTGGCAAAAATATTTGAAACTTGTATCAGACAAAGGTGTATCCAGATCATTGAAAGAACAAAAATAAGACTTCACTCAAGAAAAAATAAGAAAATTGGTAAAGATTTGAATACTTTACAGAACTATTCCAGCGAATAATAAGTATGCATGAAAGTATATATATTACTAATCACAGAAATGTAAATGATTACCATAAATAACAGTACATATCTGGTATAGGATGTTGAAAATTAAAAGATAGTTTAGTATTGTGGAGAATGTAGAGTAGCTCACACACTTTTTGCTGTTGGGAATATAAAATTATACAGCTACTTTGGAAAACAGTTTGGCAGTTTGTTTATTTATCTATTTATTTTTGTACCTGGGATTGAACTCAGGGGCACTGGACCACTGAGCCACATCCCCAGCCTTATTTTGTATTTTATTTAGAGATCTGATCTCATTAAGTTGTTTAGAGCTTCATAGTTGCTGAGGCTGGCTTTGAACTCACTATACTCTTCAGCCAGAGCCGCTGGGATTACAGGAGTGCACCACCGCACCTGACTAGTTTGGCAGTTTATTAAAAATTAAAAATAGACCTACCATATGATCCAGTCATTCTGCTCCTGGGTATTTATCAAGAGAATAACACATTGCCTCTAACCTTGATTTGCCAAATTCAGTTGGTTGTTTATTGCCCAGATTTATTTTAAATCATTTTTGTAGACAATTTTTCCTGTATTGTCCTTAGTTTCTTATATTATAGTTACATTGATGATACTTTTATTTTTTTCCACAGAAAGTACTCCAAACTAGGAATTTAAACCTGATAAAGAAGACTGTGTTAAGGATACCCTTGCATGCTGTTATTCCATTGTTGCAAGAGGTAACTGCTTCTTTTTTCATTTTAAGATCCTAATCCTTTGAATTAAAGGGAAATGCCAGTGTCTAGAGAAGTGGATTTGTGATCCTTACTCATACTTAAGGATGCATGGCATTTAGAGAGGGAGTGACGGATGAATTGGAGGAAAGTGCTTTGGAAGGGTGAAAAAAAAAAAGGGCGAAATTGAATTTATAAGCCAATAAAAGGAAATACAATGGCCATTTTTACCTTTATTCCATTAGCAGGGAGTATGTATCTCTTTACCTAGAATGCAGTTGCAACTTTAAGGTGAACCATACAATGCTGTTTGTACAGAAGATCACTGCGTGGGGTGATTGTAATAGAAACCCAAATTTGGTTTTTCCCATTATTTCCTATAAGGATCTCTAACCTCACTTGAAATGATTTTTGGATATGTTTTGATTTGCTTTAGTGCAGTTGGGGTGTTAATCTTTATGCCTGTCCGTGTGGAATTATAAAGAGCATAACAATGATCTGGTTCAGCCTCAGGCCTATACAAGACTAACTTTCACTGTCTCCGACAAGCGGTTGCCCTGTCTTTGCTTAAGTAAGTTTATTTAACAGTGTTAAGAAAGGATAGGTAGCAGCTGGACAAAAGAAGCAGGAGCAAGGGAGTGGTGGAGAACAGAAAGCCTTGAGTGGTACCAAGGACTAAATAACTCCAGCTCAGGCAAATCCCAGGTTTGTAGCCATTTGGGTACCTTAGGTGCATTGCATTCAACAGAATTCCAATAATTTGGTAACCATTATTACCTTAAGGAAAATATTTTTCTTGGTTTCTTTTAAAAGCATACATAATTGTATTGAAGGCTTAAAGAGTGGGTACAAATTATTAAAAAGTATACTTAAAGATAAAGCCTGTTCTTTGTAATCAGTAATTATGCTATTTGCTTAACATGTTGAAGTGCTTTGTGAGAGTGAGAGTGGTTTTGTTATTAATAGTGGGAGTAAGGTTTACCATTATTGGTAGTGAAAACCTCTGTATTTAAAAATGCAGTATAAGGCCAGGCGCAGTGGCACACACCTGTGATCCTAGCGGCTTGGGAGGCAGAGACAGGAGGATTGTGAATTCAAAGTTAGCCTCAGCAACTTAGTGAGGACCTAAGCAACTCAGCAATAACCTGTCTCTAAATAAAATATAAAAAGGGCTAGGAATGTGTCTCAGTGGTTCATTGCCCCTGGGTTCAATCCTTTGTACCTACACAAATAAATATGCAGTATCATATATTAGAAAAGATTATATGCTTTTTGACTATTAATCAACTCCAAGACAAAATTTGCCTGACCCTGATTTTTTTTGTGTGTATTTAAAAAATTGACATAAAATTCGCCTATTTAAGGTGAACAGTTTAGTGAATTTTAATACGTTCATAGGTCGTGCAGTTGGCATCCCCCCAAAAATCCTGTACTCAGTAGTAACTCTACTTCCCCTTCCCCCAGTTATTGTCAATCATCGCGTTTATTTACTGTCTCCATGTATTTATCTATTCTGGACATTGATTCATATAAATCCAGTTCTAGATTTCTTTAGGTAATTACTCTTGTGGGAATAATTCAAAGTTGGTTGAAGATAGACTACTAAATGAAATAATTTTCAGCTCTTGTTGTTCAGTACACTGGGAACTAATGAAGATTGTAGCCTCTGAAGTGCTGTTGCTAATAATGTTTTTCTCTTCCTTAGCTTACAAAGAGGTTGCAAGGACATCCTAATAGGTAAGATGTTTAGATGACTAAATTGCCTTTTTTTTAAGTAAATTAGAGATTATTGTTAAAAACAGCAATATCTGAAAGTGTTAGATAGTATTAGGTAACCCCATATTCTGACGGTAGAATTCTTCAAAAGTTAAATGTTGGGGCTGGGGTTGTGTTTCAGCAGTAGAGTACTTACCTAGCATGTGTGAGGCGCTAGGTTCGATCCTCAGCTCCACAAATAAATAAATAAATAAAATGAAGGTATTTATTTATACAACCAAAAAATTTTTTTAAAAAGATTAAATGTCACTCTTCCCCCATTTTAGATTAAATGATTTTATTTCTAAGATTTTATTACAGTTTTTTTTTTTTTTTTTTTGAGAAAACTCCTATGTAGATAATTCAGATTTTATTAGGTCATTTAATGAGTTAGACTTAATCACTGTATGTAAAATTGACAGTTTATAGAATTTGCCCAACCTCTAGTAGGTGTGTAAGAGACCATAAAGAAATGTCTTAGGACTGGGGATGTGGCTCAGAGGTAGAGTACTTGCTAGTGTATCTGAGGCCCTGGAATCAATTCCCAGTACTACCATACACACACACACAAAAAAAATTTAGCTAAAAGACTAAATTTGTAGTTTTTTTCCTAGGTTTTGATTAAACTTAAACAGAAAGTTGGTATCTCAGTGATCCTAAGATTGTAGCATGCTGTGTATATTGTATGATTGTAGCATTGCTGTGTATATTGTATGGCTTTTCTTTTCTGATTATTTTCTGTTACCTTTCTGAGCTCACAAAAGAGGAAAGCTAAAGAACCCATGAAATAGAACTGGCTCTCACAATTTAGGTCTATATTTATTTGCCTTTTAATATTGGTGTAGAAGACTTTGCTGTTTGCTTTTGAAGGTGAATATCAGATGGTGGGTTCGGATATCATGAACATAAAATGCCAAATCAGTTAAGCTCAGTTTGGATGAAGATTATTGTTGTTGTATCAGTTAATTTGAAGTAAAGCATAGGTTTTATTTTGAAGTTGTTTTGGAGGGACTGATTTTTGTCTTATTTTTCCAGTCCCTACTCTAGGAAGTTAGTGTTTTTCAGGAATCTCAAACTCAGTGAAAAATACAACATGAATATTAAATGCATAGCTGTTTGTTTATTTATTTTTGAGAAAAAGGAAGTTTTATTGATTTGCTAGCAGAGAAATAATATAGTGAAGTAAGCCCTTAAAGCCTGCACTTCTAACTGCCAAGGGGAATACAGGACTTTTAAAAGAAGATAAAATGACTGTTTTCCAATATCATTAAGTATAATTAATTTTTAACTTGCATTCTTTTAAAATATACTTTTAGTTGTAGATGGACACAATACCTTTGTCTTATTTTTTATATATTTTTATGTGGTGCTGAGGATTGAACCCAGTGCCTCATACGTGTTAGGCAAGTGCTCTACCACTGAGCCACAACCCAAGTCCCTCAACTTGTGTTCTTGAGAGAGCCATTGCTTCAGTTTCTAGGTCCATAGTTTCTTTATTCTTATGGGCAGGGAGATGTTGGTTTCTCTGCTGTACAGTCATGACCTTGTATGATGAAGATAGTAAGAGCCACAAAACCTTCCTGAGGAGAGAATTTTGCCTGCCTTCAGACTCCAGCTGCAAGGTCAACTCTTCCCTCCGCCTCCAGCCTGCCAGCCCGCCTTCCAGACATCAGACTCCCACGCCTCCACAGTCACATGAGCAAATCCCTTAAAGCCTCCTTCTTGATTCCATTTCTCTGAAAATCAGTTTCAGAGGTCTTAGTCCATAGAAAGCCAGTTCCATTCCTCAGGGCTCAAGGTGAAGCAGAACATCATGGAGGAAGAGTGTGGCAGAGGGAAGCAGCTCACATGGTAATCAGAAAGCGGAGAGAGCTAGTTGTTGATTTATTATGGTCATCTTCACAGCATAAATTCTAGATCTTCACTTGCCTATCTGTATTTTTCTAAAATTTTAACTCGGTTGTATTTAGTTTTGAATTTGTGGATATTTACTTGGAGTTTTTTTTTTTTTTTTTCCAGTGCTCTTTTAATGGTTCAGTGGTTGAAATGTGTGTTAACGGTTCATGCATCATACCTATCCACAGTAAGTCTTTTCTGAGTATCAATAGTTTGGTTTAGCTAAGCATTATAAAATTTGATAAATGCTGAACAGAACCACCTCTTATCTCTTTTCTTCACCCACTAGATGTTTCTTTTAGAGATTTTATTTTTTTCCCAGGTGACTTTACATGAATCCTTTCTTTAAATTAAACTGTGTGACCCTTTTCCCTCCTGAATCTTAAAAGTAATATATAGTGTATAAGAAGGCTTTTAAAAATACAGGAAGGAGAAATATTATATATTGATATATTAATCATGTTTTTCTCTACACAGTACTTGCTCAGCAAAATTGTTACATTGTGTATATCCTTACCGTCCTCTTAAAAAACACTGCCAAATTTTAAAGTCTTCATATATGCTGACATGTCTGTCTTGCCTTGTCTTGGGAGGATAAAAATGATGTAAAATAACTAAACTGGCGTTTTTTGTTTTTGTTTTAAACCAGTCCACGATTTTTATTGCAGTGGTCGTTTTTGTGAGGGTGAGGAGTTTGATCTCAAAATAGTGTTACATTGAAAGGTCTTATACAGAAATTGCCATCATATTCAATATCTTTAGTGGGTCAAGACTCACATGGTGAATATAAAATTCTTAAGATTAACAGTATACACTCAATGGAAAACAAAAAAGGCACTAATAGCTATTTCTTTTAAAAAGATCTTCAGGTGATAGGAATGAACACTGAGATAGTAGAATAAATTGATGACATAGTTAATGAAACTTAATTGGCATTCTTTTGGGGGATTACTCTTTTTTAAAGAAGTGTTTTAATGCATAGTGTTATATTTGTGCTGCCATGTCTCAAAAGAAGGCTTGCCAAGGTAGGTGGAGTATATGATGCTCCAGTGCCTTATGGAACTACAATTTCACCATCTGATCACTGTATAATACTTTCAAGGCATTTAGTCTGCTTATCCTTGGCAGTATTCTAAGCCGTTCACATTGGCCATCACATTTATTTTAGTGCTTGCCACAAGGGAGGCATAAAACCTGTTGTTTTGGCTAAAATGAGACAGTGGGTTCTGTATAAAAGTAACCATATTAAAGGGTCTAATGGCAGTCACTGACAGGCTGCTTAAATGACTGGTATCTCCATCATTCACTGTGTTGCAAGGGCCCAGTGGAAAGGAAAAAAACAACAAAATAAAACAAAACAAAAAAAAAAAACACTAATGCTTTTTCAATGGATTGAATTGGAGAAATTAAATCCCCTTAATAGCCAGATGGCACTTAATGGGGTTAATATACGACAGTTTTTATTTAAGTGAAATTACTGTGTGGCCTCCCAGTTTCTTTCCAAATGTCGAATGGTTCTTAATATCATCCAAGCCATTTACTTGCCACTTGAGTTTAATACCTGTAAATTCTTTTTAATGGCATCTTTAGAGCTAGTATAAATCATCTTTTTAAGGGTACAGTTCAAGATCCCAGAATATAAATAAAAGACTTTTTTATTGAACTGTTTTGTTTCATGTGTGGCAATGTACAAAGCATACTGGCAATTATTCAGATGCAGCAACTTCACAAAAGATGTGTAAGAGTCCTCTACAGTATCACGTGTCACTCACCAAGATCTGCTTTGCCTCCTCTACAATTATTTGTCTTTTTTTTTAATCACTTAAACAGAAGAGAACTGCTTTCTTTCTTTCTTTTTTTTTAATCTCCTTGTGTAAAAGATTTCCTTACTTTCATATCATTAAAAACTTTGATGACTTCATCATTCACTGTAACTCCAGATGCCATAGTGTTTGAGGCTGTGATGTGTCAGCTGCTCCAGCTCTGTGGCTCTGGGAAGAGGAGGAGGGGCAGGCAGACAGCAGCAAGTGCAGGTCACGCCAGGAGCTCTAAACTGGCATTTTGCTAGAGTTGGCTGCCAGCTTTTCATTGGTATGTGAATTATATTATTTATTCAGATAGAAGAGAAGGAAGATAAAATTTTAATGTCAGAAAAAGTTTTTTATGAGTTCTTTGTTATCTGTTCCATCAGTTATATTTTAAACTAGAAATAGAATTAAAATTATATACTCTGATTTGATTATCTAGCACTTTAAAAATATACCTCCACCCCCTTTTTTTGCAGTACTCAGAATTGAACCCAGTGCCTTACACAACTAGGCAAGCACTGTACCACTGAGCCATATCTCCAGCCCACAGTATTTTTTTCCCCACATTTTCTCATAGTGATGAGATTTGTTGTTGCATATTTGTACATGCATACAATATAACATTATAATTTGGCTCAATAAATTTTCTTGAAAAGTTTTAGTGGATCACTGAAAATCCTTAGTTGCTCTTTTCTCTTTTTGGACTGAAACCAGGGGCACTCTACCATTGAGCTACATTCATAGCCCTTTAGTTTTTACTTTTTTTTTTTGAGACAGAGTCTCCCTAAGTTGCCTCGAACTTGCAGTCCTTCTGCCTTGTTCTCCTAAATCACTGGGGATTACAAGCATGCACCACTATTTCTGTCCAGCTCCTTAATTATTCTTTAAACTATAGCTCTTCCTTTCTTAACATAGTTTATACAACTCCTACATGGTCCCTGTTCCTTTTCTGTGTCTCAGATTCCTTTTGGCTTTAGTGATGTGAAAATTGTTAGATAAACTGCTTTGAGGTCAGCTGTGCATTCTTTGTGTGTCTAGGGAGAACTCGGCCAAAATGTTAAATAGGTGTACAGACAAGCAATAGAGTGGATTAGATCTCCTAGCCTGCAGGAATCCTGGGAGGTGAATTGAGGGCAGTAGTGTGTGGAGTGGCTTTGTAGCATGGTGATCTGCATGTGATGATTAAAGCAAACATGATATGTTTTAGAACCCTGGCTAGAATACTGGGTGATACTAAATCTCAGTTACTTGCTTAGAAGCAAGAGGCCCAGAGGCCTTGAAGTGAAATCTCTTCTGGAATCAACTACTGAAGTGAGCATCATAGATTAAAGATATATTTAAGTTTATTCTCTAAGCCAACATCTCTGTTGGCTATAGATGTTTAAGGCACTCTGATCCCCATCTTGGATCTCATAGTCTGAATGGGGGTACAAAAATGGGAGATGATAAATTGAAATGTAATCACAGTAAACCTTGTGTTACTTATTTTTGTGCCTATCTGCTATTTACAAACAGGAATGAAATACCATTTTATGCACAAGTGTCAGAAATAGGAGATTAAATAAAGGTTGATTATAGGAGAAAGTTAGGGTCCCTTTTTCTATAGCTCTACATGGACAAAAGATTTTCTCCTTTAATGATTTATGGGATTCAATAATAGGAATGCTATTTGGGTCAATTCTGTCTTGTTCTGTCCTACTGGTCTCTGGGAGCTGGGAAAAACTCCCTCTAACTCACTGATTCTTTATGGTAAGGATAGATAATGTGCCATCATTGGAGAATAAGAGTCAGAGGAGAGTCCCCTCTAGCCAGAGATGTGTCATAGAGATGTTTTTTAAATTATGTACTTTGTACTGATTTTACCTGAAATAATTTATCAATATGAAGAACTTCCATCCTGTAGTTTTGCCCTACCTGGTAGTTTTCTCCCTCCTAACCATGTATCATCATTATTATTATTATTTTAGAGTTTTTTTTTTTTTTTTTTTTTTTTTTTTTTTAATTTTCCTGCTGGGATATTGTGGTCCTTTTGTGAAGATTTGTGATGTTGCTTGGCTGTGTCCCCAGCAGCCACTGCTATTGGAAGTACTTGTTAGCAGATGCTTATGTAGTGGCTGAACGCTAAAGTGGAGCTGATCTGATCTGTATATTTCTCATCTCTGTATGTGATAATACCAAACAATCATTTTTCCCCCGCTAGTTGCCTGATCTGGTACACCAGCTGGGGACACTGTATCAGCTAATGGAAAGCAGAGTCAAAACTTTTCAGAAACTCTCACATCTTCATGGAAAGCTTATCCTTCTAATCACACAGGTGGGTAAATGAGAGTATTTCTAACCAACACTTTTGATTGTGATAGGAATGGAGTATAAATAAGATTGCTTACCTAATAAGCTGTTCATGGTGGCACATGCCTGTAATCCCAGCAACTTTCAAGGTGGAGGCAGGAGAATTAGAAGTTCAAGGGTAGGCTAAGTAACTTAGTTAGGCCCAAAGCAACTTAGATGATGTCTCAAAACAAAAATTAAAAAGGACTGAGGATGTAGCTTAGTGATAAAGCACCCCTGGGTTCAATCTCTGGTTACACCCTCTTTTCCCCAAGGCAGTGGGGGGTATTGCTTACCTGATATTTGAGGGCTACTTCATTTAGCTGGAAAAACAGAATCCAGGCTTTACCTTGTAAATATTATCCATTTCACAGTTAGAAAGATTAGTTATACCCCCCTTTCAACTTATATTTAAATTGTTTCTCACTAGGATATTTCAGTTGTTAATATAGCTAGGTTGATAATGTTATTATGAACAAGTTACAGGATTTTTCTGCAGTTAAATTTTTGGCAAAGAAACATACTCTAATCACCTCAGAGGTTTTTCCCAACTTTTACAAAGTAATTCTTTTCTCCAGGTATTTGAAGGTGCTCCCTCCTCTCCCCCATTTGCTCCACATTGTATTCAGACCATTCATTCTTATGGGAGGAGAATGAATGGGTGATGGTGGGAGATGGGTGTGGTAGTGGTTGGGATACTTGGGATAGATATGTACTTTGCTTAAAAATTCTACTTTTTTAGGTTACAGCGTCAGAGAAAACGAAGGGAATGACTTCCCCTGGACAGAAGGCAAAGTTGGTGTATGAAGAAGGTAAAGATGGCAGGAGGGTAGAATCTTGAACTGAAATAGTGAAGTGTTTCATAGTGACTCACTTTTCTTACTGTGTGAGAACATTCATATAAAGTCTTGCTTTGACAAATCTCTCTTAAAATAGTCAAGTCTGTGGCAAAAAGCTATGATAAAAGAGAAGGTACAAGTATGACACAGTGACAGAAAAGGTGTGTAACGGAGGAATCCTGAGCAAATTTTATGCTAGTACATGTGAAAATGTTGGTGAAACTAGTACTTCATTAGAAAACTTTAATGACCAAAATTGTTTTAAAATCTAAAATTGAGTTAATTAAAACCTCTTATAGGATAGGATATTAGGCCCAGAGGTTTATTTTTTGGTATTGGAGAATAAACCTGGGGGCACTCAACCACTAAATCCCCTTTTAATATTTTATTTAGAGACAGAGTGTCCCTAAGTTGCTGAGGCTTACTTTAAACTTGTGATCCTCCTACCTTCACCTTCCTAGCCACGGCTTCACCGTGCACAACTCTTGCTTTCACATATTTTAAAGCCATAGTTCTCTAGCTTTTTGGTATTAAAATTCTTTTACTACTTTTTGTGTATGTGTGTGCATTTGCAAAGTGTTTTATTCACATACATATGAATTCTCTCTTAAGATGATGTAGACATGAAGAGACAGGTAGTTGACTCCATAGGTTCCTCATCTTATATTTGCTTCCTTTCTGTATGGACACAACATCTCTATTTTATTTTTATGTGATGCTGAGGATCGAACCCAGCGCCCCACACATGCCAGGCGAGCGCGCTACCACTTGAGCCACATCCCCAGCCCGGTTGAATTTTTTAAGTCAAACATTTTGTGGGAATTTATCAATGTAAATGTGTTTTCAGATGACATCACATCCAAGAATCACATTGTGCTTATTATTACATTAATGATGCTAAAATCAGTGACATTTTCTTCTCCATTTATTTTCCAAGGTGCTTAGAAAATAATATAGCTCTGCTACTACTTTTACATTTGAATATTTTTTCTCACAATCATATATTTAACATGTCAGTTAATAATATTTCCATAATTAGTATTTTTATTATGGTTTTAAAAATGCTAATGCTTCCATTCTTCTCTGTTTATAAGCCAGCACTTTTGATATAATTTTTCTACATCCAGAGAAATCCAGGTTATTTGGTGGTCCAGAAATGGCTTGTATTTTAAGTTGAGGGTTTGTAGGTGTTTGTGTACTTAGTCTTTTCTAATAGCATCTTGAAGGAATAGTATAAATAGATTGCAGTTTTATTCAGATAAGCTTATTAAATTAACATTATTTCTTGCATGAATGATAGATGAATAATAAGTATTACTAAAAGTAAGTTTAGGAATTTGGTCCTTCTTAGTTTTTAGGGACATGCTCTCTCCCTTGTTCACAAAATTAAAGCTAGATTTTCCCCCTCCCTACAGAATCTTCTGAAGAGGAGTCTGATGATGAAGTAGCAGATAAGGATTCTGATGTGAGTTATTTGTTTCCTGGTACATAAATCTGCCTTTATAGCCTCATTGCTCCATGAGATTGAGCCTTTCATGATTGTTTTTCTTCCTTCACATATCTACCAGGATGACTGGGATGAAGATGAGGAACAGAAAGAAAGTGAAAAAGATGAGGACATTGATGAAGAGAATGAGGAGGAAGATGAGGATGTTGAAGAAAAAGAAGAAAATGGTGAGGACAGAGATGGGGCAAGTGAAAAAGAATTAAATGGAGATTCTGATTTAGATCCTGAAAATGAAAGTGAAGAGGAGTGAAGACAGAAGAGCAAGCCAGTCAGACTGTGAACCCTGACTCACCTTTCCCACTGCTGCGGAGTCCTCCTAGGGAGGGTTGTCCCCGTGCCAGGACGCCAAGGACCGCTGCACATTTCCACCTTCACAGCGGCGATTCCCATGCCACCTTGCTGTCCTGAGTGCCCCAGACTTTTAACTGTGTAAATAAGAGTGTTTCGTTCAAATGTTAATAAACTTTACACAGTAAATAGACACATTTTCTGCAATGTACTGACATGAGTGTCCAATATATGGTATATTTTTATAATATAATATCTTAATATGATTGGTTACGTCAGGAATTGACTTAAGTGAAGACAGACATATCCCACAGGGTTTCAGAAACTGGACGCTTGTGAATGAGTCAGCTCTTCTCAGGTTGGTATCCTTCATCAAATCCATATGTGAAGCAGCACAGTGAAAAGTTTTTAATTTGGTACATTTTAATAAAATATGAAGGAATAACTAAAAACTGGAGTTAAGAATTATTGTGATTAAAACAGAAACAAAAACCCTATTTACCAGTATCCCTAGCTTGTGTATTAACTGTGGTTATCTGACTCAAGTCCAACTGAAATTTTGGAGTGCTTCCTCAAAACAACCACTTATTTTTTAAGCTGTCATGTGAAATATTTTTTTAAAACAAAACAGAAAATTATGATAATTAAAAAACTAAAGATTTAGCCATATTGAGAAATTTTCTTGGCTGCAGATTGCCTGTACAAAAATAATCAGTGTATTTAGATTTAGAAGTGCTCATTACCCGTAACTTTTTAAAAAATTCACTCATAGCTGCTTTTGAAGAGGTTTTCATTTTTATTTAAATTACTAATGAATCAAAGAACTATTGTTTATTTTTTTCTCTTTGGTTTTAGATATTAATGATAACCTTGTTGGAATTTTTTTTCCAAAGAAAATATTTTTATAATTCAGTAATTTTAATGTTTTTTGTCCTTTTTCATTGCCAACTTGGCAGTGTTAGGGTATCTTTAAAACAATAAATTCAACTCAAGATTTTTTATGTATTAATAAGTATTTTGGTGCGCTACAAAAGCTTTTTCAGATTATTAGGAATTTGCTTTGTTTTGTTTTTAAAGAATGAGCCAGTATTTAGGAAGGGCTAGGCAGATGGATTTATCTTTTCCCACCTGTGAATATGTAAAACAAATAATTATCTCTTGAGGGACTTTTTAACATCTGTGGCAGAACAGAGGTTTCTGTGCTCAGCTCGCGGAGCTGGAACCCTCAGCACCTCTTGGGAACACAGTTTGAGCTGCTGGTGTGATATATAGTGGTATGTGTTTATCAATGGCAATTTAATACCATCTCTTTGTAAAGTGAATAAATACTCATCTTTACCCAGTGCTTGTCTTGTGGTATATGTAGAGGAATTCAGCCACGTGGTTGGGTTTATGGTATGAAGGTTTTTAAAAAGGGATTTTACTCCAGTAGCATTAATAGGTAAATGCTTTCAAGATTTGTTGTATAACCTAGAGTTTTTACATGAAAGAATCAAGAATTTTGTCTTTAGTGTTAGGTAAAGCTGGTAGTTTCTTCAAGCTGTCCCATGTGGCTGGGTTGTGACTCTACAACGTATGGCTGTAGTGACAATAAGGAAGAGGCACGTGTGCTGATAGAGCAGGTCCTGGGAGTCACGTTTCCTTTACCCTAGTTTAGAAGTAAATGAGAACTATGTGATGATATCTTACTCATTTATTGATTTGTGAGTTTTTTTGGTTTAGAAAAGTCCAGAGTTGATTTAGGCTTTTTAATCAAAATTTAATCAATTTTCTGGTCAATTCAGAAAATGAAGTGTTGTGTGTGGTTTTTTTTTTTTTTTTTAATGTTAGCCCTCTAACCAAGTCACCAATCATATGTATATCATATTTAGTTGTCAAATTCTGATAATCCACAATATTCCCCCTCACTTGGTTGAAATTTAATGAGCTTGCTAAATTGTGTTGAACAGTGTACTGCATTCTGGATTTGTCTGATTGTTTCCTTAGATTTCTGTTTTAATGTTTTGGGCAAGAATCCTTAAATAAGTGCTTGTGTTTGAAATGAATTTGTAGAAGTAAATTCCTTGGGTCTAGATGAGGATATTGAATAAATAAGTATGTTTTGGTATAAGTAGATGTGAAGGCTTCAGGTTTGGTGCCTGAAGGTCAGAACTGAGACCTGGAGAGTGCAACATTGGATGCGTTGACATTTGTCAGGTTCCTGTCTGGATTAATTCCCAAATTTGCCATTTATTCATCTTAGCAAATGCATATTGATTGCTTTCTCTCTGCCTAGTATGATTTCATTGCTTGGTATCACTGAACAATGGGGAAAAATAATACCTGCCTGTTGTGGTTTGGATAAGTGTCCCCCAAACATTGTGTCTTATTAAACACTTGGTCCCCAGAGTCACGTTCTTGGGAGGTGCTAGAACTTTTAGGAAGTGGGTCCCAGTAGGAGGTAGCTGGGGCATTGGGTACAGGTCCTCAGATTATGGGACCCTGATCAGAAGAGACCTCTTGAGCTTTGCTTCCTGGCACATGAGGTGAGTAGTCTGCTCTGCCACAGGCTCACAGCATGATATGCTGCTGTTGACAGAGGCTCAATAAATGGAGCCTTAGTTTTGGACTGGAACCTCCACATCTGTGAGCCAAAATAAAACTTTTCTTCTTATAAGTTAATTGCCTCTATTATTTAATGTTAGCGATGGAAAGCTGACTTAAAACGCTTCCTTTGAGGAACTGACACATTACCAGGGAGATCTTGGCAATAAGCAATATGTGATGAGTAAGGAAATTTTAATAGTATGTAACATGGTAATTGATACGGGGAAGAAAAGCAGAGAAGGAGGTGGGTCATTGGGTTTGGGGAGTGCAGGTTGCAGATTTAAGTGATCAGGGTAGGACTTACTGAGGAAGGATTTGAATGTAGACCTGGAGGAGGCCTGCGAGTTGGCTAAGTATGGTATCTAGGGGAAGGAGTCTTCTAGGCAGAGGAGATGGCTGGAGCAGAGGCCTTGGGGTCAGCATATGTTTTATTGTGTTGAAATGTGGAGAGGAGGTCAATATGGTGGATATTGAGAAAGGGAGAGTGTGTCGGAGAGATGAGATCAGAAAGTAAGTAGTTGCATAGGGCCTTGCAGACTTGTAGGCACTGGTTTATGCTCAGAGAAATGTGGAATTGTGGCATTTGAGCAGAAAAGTCCAGCTTTTGTGTTGAGAATTCAGTATCCTGTAGTGAGAAAGGAGGAAGGGCTGTTTTCTTAGTAGGCAGAACCAAATAGGATGCAGTAATCCAAGGAAACAATGAGGGTACTAACTTGGACTATCAGTAGAGGAGCTGGTGATGGTGTACTTTCAGTCAGGATTGTTTTGAAATTAGGGGTACTGGGGTTTCCTGTGAAGTGTGAGAAAGAGAGGTGTCAGGTAGCACTCCAGGGTGAGGAGTGCTTCTTGCTAGAGTACCTGCATGCTGATGTGGGTGGGAGCAGGTTTGATGGGAGAGGGACAAGTTGGACTTGTTAGATTGTTGAGATCTATTATTCCTGGGGAGAGAAGGCGGGATGGAGGCAGAAATTTGAGCAAGTGTGAGCTTCCCAAGGGAGTCATGTAAACAGGAGCTTTGAGGCCTGGTGCTCCATTGCTGCAGGAAAGAAGAGAAACCCCAGAGGACGGTGCACAGTGAGGTAGGAGGAATTGACATTGTTTCTTCCATTCCCTTCAAATTTGAATTCATGGCATCACTCAGCTGCAGTTTCTTTCAGCTGTGATTGATATGATTACTGGTGAAGTCGCCCGGGCTGCAGTGGTTTTTATGTTGCCCTTTATATGACTGTTTGTTGATCCTTTCTTTGAAGGTAACTCAGGCATAAAATTCTATTTTTCTTTTACTCCAGTGTAGTTGTCTTGACTTTTGTGGCACCTCAGCACACGAAATTGTACACTAGATCACAAAGCAGTTGCAGAATGAGAGACCACAGCAGTGCGACTGGATTAGCATGTTTTATTCAAATTGAAGAAACTGAAAAAGAATCAGAGGCTAGAGACTGTGCAGTCTTTATAAGGTGCTGACTAGATTGGCTGCTCAGCATTGTGGATTTACATGTATAAATGAGTTACATTTAGTGTGAAAATATTCCTGAGAACAGAGTAATTATAAATCTGTGTAGAGGACCATGCAAAATGATGTTTGCTTGAATGTAGTATGTTAACTTCACATGTCAGATGAGGGATGTCAAAAACACTAAAGTTGAAAATTAACTACATTGAGTTGCATGGCATATTCTAGGCAATAATGGCTCGAGGGGGGAGGAAATTTTGTATGTTTTGGGTGCTAAAGTTTAAAAAGGTTTTTTTTTTTTTGTTGTTTTTTGGTGGTGCTGGGTATCGAACCCAAGGCCTTGTGCATTAAAAAGGATTCTCTAAATAGGTAAGGAAAGCCTTTTGTTACAGGCTTGCCCTGTTGTGGTCCAGGTTGCTCCAGTGAGATCTCTCCCTCCTGGGATGGTGGGGGAGCGTAGAACATGCCTGCCTAGCACGAGCACCCTGTGTGGTCATGATGTTCTGAAGCTGGGCAAAAGCTTTGCAGCTTCTTAAAGCTCATGAGTGGAGTTGATCAGTTTTACACAGCAGAGTCATGACAGGCTTCCAAGAAAAAATGGAGTTTCCATGATATGTGTAAATTGTGAGGAAATCATCTCAGGTGGAGCAGCCTCTTGTGGGGTGGTAACTTGTTTTCATTCTAAACAGGAAAGTTACACACTAACCCAGTTTTAAAATCGGAAGATTATTTTTGAGCCAGAGTTAAGAAGTGAATTGGGCAGTCTTCATGGCTGGTGAGCCTGCCAGTGTTGGCAGGGTTTGTTTGACGTCCTGGCCTTTCCCCGTGCTGTACTAGGGCCTCTCACATCACGCTGCCTGTTCTGCTCTTTTTTTTTTTTTTTTTTTTTTTGGTACCAGGGATTGAACCCAGGGGCTCCTAACCACTGAGCCACATCCCCAGTTGTCTCCCCCGGCCCCACTTTTAAATTATTTTTTACTTTAGAGACAGGGTCTAGTTCAGTTGCTGAGGCTGGTTTTGGGCTTGTGATTCTCCTGCTTCAGCCTTCTTAGCCACTGGGATTATCAGAGTGCACCACCACACCTAGCCTATTAACTTTTGTTAACAGAATGGTGACTGACTGGAATTTGGCACCACTTAAAGCTGCTGGTTAGGGGATAGTTTGCTGGTGACTGA